AGTATTTGCTTCGGCCCAGATAATAGAGAAATTATTTTTCGGTTATTATTTTATCACTCGGGTGTAGTTTAGCTAGGATATTTAATTGGTAGAATTTTTACGGAGGCCTTTCTGATTTACTTTTCTCTGATAATTATAACATTTACATATTTTATGAACTTTCGCATGATAGCTTTCAATCTTTATTTCTGTTAAGATAATCTGTATGCAGACGGCCTGTCAAAATATTAAGCCTAGGTACAAAGATCTAACACAATTTTAAAAAATGCAAGAAATGATTCCTCATACAAATTTGGCATGCATCGTGTCGTAACTTATCAATGCTATTATAATTAAAGGAAATAAAGTCTACGTACAGCATGAATAAAATTATACTTATTGTCCATGAATGTAAAAAAAATACTGAAGTAAATTTTTATAACGATGTGTGTTTTACACAACATTAGTAGAGATGTAAACGAACATTTAAGATGTGAACAATATAAATAAATTAAAATTTTCATAGTTTATTTTCTAACACAAAATGTAAATTATAGAGCTTTTAAAGGAAAACTTGACAATAAACCGGTACCAAAACTACTGAAATTTCACTAATAAGTACCGGTATTTACAAGACCAGTGCTGGAACTTTAAGTAAATACATGTATTATTGAAACTCAGTGACGCAGATACTTAGATTTAATAATAAGTTAACGTTAATTATCGCACCTTTAGAATGAAAATGACCTAAGAACAAAAAATATTTTATACCGTAAAACGACTAAAAAATATTGTTCGTATGGATGTTAATTTAGAAGCGACTCAACAAGGCTCGAATGGCACATACTCTTGAAGATGTTGTAAACCGCTAGTGTGCCATGACCAAGTTTCACGGCAATAAAATAGAATACTCCGATAATTTATTTCATAAAGTTGAAAGAAAAAGAAAGGCTGTAACAAGAAAAGTGTATAAAAACAGGTACACGGCTACAAAACACACCCTACTTAAGTACAAAAAACGTGAGACAGACTTACCCCGAAAGACCGAGTTATACAATATTACTAGGTTAGATTGGTATTAAAATTGGCACGTGATTTAGTTTGGGAACTGGTATAAGAATCAAAATTAGACGAGCAGCTCTGCTCGCTTCAGCGATTAAGCAGCGAGTGACGCGGAGTGGAACAAAATGAGAATGACGAGGCATAGGAACTAAAGAACGATTCAACATTCGAAAACAAGTGGCCAGGAATCAGAGAAAAGGAGATAAAAAGGTGGGATGGCGATGGAAGGAGGTCACATCGTCACAATACCCTGTTTGGTTCTCTTTGATATGTTTAAAATTCCACTTCCGCGTCGGTATGTAAAAGCCGCATTTAGTGTTGAATCTGTATCTGTAAAACCAACACGCCACCACTGTTGGTGAAAGAATGGCAGATTAGCAAATAAGCTGATTTCGTTCCGAAAATTATCATTAAATTTTCATCAAACGCAACTTTATTACTCGAGGACTCTCTTTCACAATTAAAACGACCATAAATAATTTGTTGCGTAGCTGTTGAAAATAAATAAGTAAATTATAATAAAATTGTTTAAAGGAATAATTAAATATTACGTCGTCACTACGTTGTCGTAAGACATCGTAGACATTAGTAAGACATCGACACGTTCGCGTCGGTTCGAATCCGGCCGGATCGAAGGAATTTTTTCTGAGTGTTCGATCTTTGTATTAATAATTATAACAAACTAGTGGAATAATATCACAAAAAGTAATTTAATATCAATTCAATAAAAATTTAAAAAACGAAATACTAATTATGCGAATTAATGTAAAGTATGACACATGTACCTGAACTAGGAGAATCTGTATTTTTGGTAAAAAGTACTAATTGTACAGGTGGATGTTAAATTATAAACAAAGAGACTTAATTGTTAGGTCAAATGACAACAAAAAAGTACAGTAAAAAGTGACCTTATAGCGACTAGTTTATGTAAATTATATTTCTCAATTGTTAAATATTAAAATTATCAGTAACATTTTTTGAGGATATAAAGCTGAATGTTTCATCATTGTTTTCTAGAACTGACTAGGCCATTGCCTGTGCTTCAAGAATAGTAAATGAAATAATGTGATAATATCACAACTTCAAAACTTATTTCGCGTGTTCCCAAAAACTTGAAATTTTGTGTTGGGCCACTTTCATTCTTAAGCTGCGTTATGTAATATACTATAGACTTACAAAATAACGTTACATACCAAATAACTATTTAAAATGATACATAGGCAACAGACATCAAACTTTGCACTTAAGATTTGAGATCAACTATATTTATTTATTTAGACACAATAACTGTTCTCAAACTATGTACGATACTTAATAGTAATTTTATACTATAATACTCTTTAGCTTGGAAGAATTATGTACAACATTGAAATGAAATAGATTTAGTTAAATATCCTATTTAAAAATGAAAAAGAACTTTTATAAAATTTGAAAAGAAAGATAACTTCGTACAAGGTAGTCCATAATCTAAAGTGTAAAACCCAGTGTTCTAGTGACTATACATTTCGTCGCTTAAGTTTGTAAAAGAGTTTGCTATGTATGTCATATGCCCCATGTAAGCACCAAAGAAAAAATATTTAAAAAATCTGCATGTGACGCCCACTGCTAGAAGCAAGTAGGGTAGTGTGTTAAAGCACTCGTACATACTGTCAATATGTGTTAATCGTAAAGAAAGTTACACAAGTTTTGGCTTATACTATAAAAATGACTTGTGACCGATGTTTTAAACTTTATCAAATAAATTATCTGGATATTTTGATTTATAGATTTCCATCAATCAAGTAGCACTCACATTATGGAGGATAGTCGTTTTTATCAGCGTATTTATTGTGGAAAAATTATGACAGTTACGAGTAACTTATCACATTTATTATCTCCTTACACAAATGCACAATAAATTGCTGTTACAGCTGACGGAAGGTCGGCTTCAATGTACAATATTACACTTATTACAGATATAATACAAGTACAATAGACAATATCACTGAGAGTACACCTTATTCAAGTACTGCTTGATTCTTGTTACAGGCTGACAATTATTTATACGTCCGCGTCACAATGATCCTTCACACGTATCAAAAAAATTATAAAAAAAGAATTAATGCGGGTTACACCACTTTTACGCTGATAGCGTCATTTATAAAACGAACTTTGACTTAGACTAAGCGAAAATGGCGGGCTAAGCAAGTTTTTCGTATTTACAAAACGTACTTATATTACAAAGTAAGCTCAAAGTTTTATTTAATTTTATAACAAATGAAATTTTTTATAATATTAAGTGACGGGACGAACAAATAGTGTGCCTGTTGGTAAGCTACAGCTTTGAGTGGCACTGCAACTGTTTAAATCGCAAAGATCTGAGGGGCACTGCCGCTGCGCCCGTGACACTGAGACATAAGTTGACAAGTCCCATGTGCCTGTACTTAGAAACGTTAAACGTTAATTCGTGTTTCATGCCATTGTATATCATCATTATATATCACGTGGTCTATACCTTTAGCTAATTAAAAACAATAAAGATCTTGTTACCTGAAGCCCTTAGTGGCGCTATGGACGGACTTTGTACAGTCAACAGTCGAACCGTGTTATGGTAGGTACGTCGTGTAAAGATGAATTTAATGTAAAAAATAACGTACATCTACACTACTGTTGGGTAATTTTCCGAAAAATTCCAAATAGTGGAGAACTTAGAAAAAATTTCGTTGTAATACAATACATTATTCATAAATAATAAATACAATAATCGTTTTCGTTCAGTATCAACTTTTCATAGGTGTCAACGTCAAATGTTGAAAATTAAAGGAAAAATACCCGGAAAAATATTCATTTTTCAGAGAAATATGTTTTTGTCAAAATAAAATGGAATTTTTCCATGATCCAACACTCGATATTTTTCCTGAACATCAAGCCTAGAATCAAGTAGCTCATATAATTGTGATATAATAATAATTGTTATAATAATAACGTCGTGCTTCTGTCTAATCACGATTATATCCTTGTTCGTTATCTTGACGCCAATCGACAAGTTCTTGATACCTCACAATTATATAACTTTTTCTATTTTAATAACACAAAGAATTTGTTTGAACACGTATTGTTCTATGAGTGAATGCAAATACAGTAGGAAGTAGTGTAATTGACTTAAAATTGTAATTTTGTAATATTTAAGTACCTTTTATGTTTAAAGAATGATGATATTAAGTTCACTGATGTTACACGTGATGGTAAAGTTATTAATATTAAATGCGAATATTTCTCACTACTTTTAAGAGTATAAGGTAGAAAAAAGATATACCATGTGTTGTCGATATAAAAATGGATTCAGAACGAAGAACAAAACCACGTAAATAATAATAAAATTATTTTTTATGAAACTTTTATTTATTTTTTCAGTTATGTAAACTGTTAACTAAACTGGTGACCAATAGTTAATAACTGTTTATTATATACTAATAATTGTAATTGTATTAGGTAAGTTTTACTATTGAAGGTTATTTTTTCCGCATTATTAATGTCCCCTGAAGTTGCAGATTGTAAAACTAAAACCTCTTTTTGCAAGCTGCAACTCTCTGTACATAGAGTTATGAATAGATAAGTAAATAGAATAGATTTAGATTGAGTTTCCCTTTTTTGCTTCATTGTATTATTTTCTCAGCATCTTTTGTATATTTGGGTAACTTTCCTTCCATATTTATTTTAACACAATGTAGTGAGGTACATGGTGAGAGCAACCTCACTTCACTAGTATTAAATATCTTTAAGTTTTAATTTTTAAAAACAAAACCTATTGCACGTAAATACCACCCTGCCACTTCAAACACGCACAAAACTTCATCCTGACAATTAACTGCAACATAAACAAAACATATGATTTTAATAAGTTATGAGATTGCTCTTGACATCCTCAATAGTAACAAAAAATCATCAATATATCACAGCTAATATGAATTGCTGTATAGTTTTGTGGCGGGCGTGATCCTGCGCGAGCGGCTGCCTGCCTTCGAACGCATGCTGTGGCGAGCGTGTCGTGGCAATGTCTTCCTGCGACAGGCGCCTATTGACACAGCCCTCGAAGATCCATCCTCAGTAAGTAATCACGGAATCGACCTAGATGGACTGATTCTATATATTTGCTAGTGTCCTAGAGATTCTACATTTAATGCATCAAATTCTTATATACTGTTCATGTTTTTACTGTTTGTGATCCAGGATCTTACGCTAGCAATGTGGATTTCCTTAAAATTTGAAATACCATAATGAATTAATATCGTCGCCGTTTTATAGAAAAGGCGAAAGCACCACTTTGAAAAATTTATCTGGGGTGCATGTTTTAGTTTTTCTGCTTTAAAATATGTGCGTCCTGTTTTAAATTCAATTTTAAAAGTTAAACTTAATTAAAACCAAAATTGAATTTTAAAACATTACGTAAATATTTTCAAACAGTCGTTAAGACCTAAAACACGCTCCCTTGAATTTTTTTTCGAAATGGCACTTTTGCCCTTTCTACCGCACACCGACGATATGTTGAATGATGTTCCACCTAGAAAGAACTACTTTGATATATTTTAGACCATAATAAATTAATTATACGTAAATTTCAAAAGATTAAAAAATCATTAGGATAATTTTTCCATCTTCTATTACAAGCTTAAATAACTGGTTATTATTTCCAGTCGGACGAAGTGTACAAGTCGGTGTTCATCATTTTCTTCCAAGGAGATCAGCTGAAGACCCGCGTCAAGAAGATCTGCGAGGGCTTTCGCGCTACTCTTTACCCATGCCCGGAATCGCCGGCCGACAGGCGCGAGATGGCCATGGGGGTTATGACCAGAATTGAGGATTTGCATACCGTGAGTAGTTTCGCAATTGCTATGTATACTGATGGAAACAGTGGTTATCTTATTCGGTCGGATGACCTATTGGGAGTCAGCACCACGAAAACTCTTCGAATAATTTTCTTGTAAACTTGGCCTTCTAGATAGTTTGCACACACAGATACACACAGATAGTTTGGGACACATGGAGACGGCGAACAAAACAAATTTTTATTATGAAATTTTCTTGAAGTTAGCAACTTGCATTTTTGTTATTTAGATCCACGTACTCGTGTTCTGAAGTTCCCCCCTCTTTTATATTTATATTAATGGTGGGATCTGGATTACGTACGAAACAAATTAGGATCACAAGTTGAACATCAAGTGACCAAAAAATAGGTCCATTTGAAGTGAAATACACGAAGTAAATATGTAATACTGTGTTTAGATATCTTATTAAACCGTGCCATTTTATTGCCTCCAGCTGTATACGGCATTGACACAAGGTATCTATAAATTAGTTACCTACGTTCAGGTAATTGAATAGCAAACAACGGAAAATTTAATTGAAACCTTGATTACGGAATTTAAAAGGTTAACTTCTTTTATTGGTCGAGTACTTAGGTTTTCCCGATTGCTACACAAATAAGCAGGCTTTTTCCAATTTTAGAGCGGTTTCACACGACATTTTTATCAGCGATACAAACCCGATGCAGTAGCGATACAGTTGCTAATCTTCTACCTTTATACACGCGAGCGATCTAAAAAAAAACCTGAGTTATCTATATGAACTGCACTACAATGTTTTTCTTTGTAATTATTGTGTTAATGTAAAAAATACGTGTTTTAGTTATTTTTTGTGGTGGTGGGCGCTGAAATTTTGTTATCTTGCATAAGTGGGCGGCGAGGTCAAATATTTTTCCAAGTACATCAAACATCCAATAGCAAATAGCCACGTGAAGTGCCGCTATTAAGGCCCATTTAGATGGAGAGAGTTTTGTCGTCTCGAAGATACGATTATCGAAAGAATATAAAAAGCTTTCCTCGTTTAAACATTCGCGATTCGCCCTTCCACGTGAGCGATAATCGCCTCGCCTTCCAATATTGAACGTCTCCGTGTAAACATAACTTGAAAGCAAAAATCGTATTTCGAGTTTTTGTGCCAGCCATTTCTACATGAGTACAGTGCGCGAGGGTGTTTTGATTATCACTGCTTTTCTAAGACAAGAATTAAGGAAACGAAAAGGAAAAAAAGGGGTTAAATAAAATTTTAAATTTCAAAAAAAAATTAAAAAATATATATATTTCTATACAGTGCAAAGAACTTAATATTATCAGCAGTTCCAAATTTGAATGATTTTTGCGTCATTTTGATATATTCATAGTCAATACCGCAGTAATCACTGAACTCGAATGGCAATTCTCGCACTCAAAACGGTTCGAACCGATTGGTACGATAATCGTATGAACTTGAAAAAATGTCATACGAGATCGTGTTTAGACAAGTCGAAAACTCGTAAGCAAGAATCTCCTTACTACATATTTCTCTGTGTAAACAGTCGAGGAGGCGATTTAGTTGCTTGCGAATCTCTTATGTCATAATGGTAGGCGAGATTTTAGTTCTTGCCTGAATGTAAACATTATGATACGATAATGTTATGGCGATTATTTCTTATGATAATCGCGTACGATTTTTCGTCACGAAGCGTGCGATAAACTCTCTCCATCTAAATGGGCCTTTACAGTAGGGCTTGCGCGATAGGGCGCGACTTGCGCGAGAGAGATATAGAAGCGCGAGATATTGCTATTATCTATGGGAGTATAGCAGTATCTCCCGCTTTATGTCGCTCTCGCGCCATTCGCGCCCTATCGTGCTAGCCCTACAGGTCTCGCGTCACGGGTTTTTATGGGACATGGACCTGTAAATACGCTGGTTTGTATGAAAAAAAACAAATATGCGCGATTTAAATCCGAAAAAACAGTTTCACATCTTTTATTGGGTCAGTCCATAAATAGTTAACATCAAAATTACAATGAATGTTGTTTTTTACTTCGATTCCAGGCCAATTCAGGTTACTCATAATAAATGACAAATATACAGGGTTATTTTTAAAATATTACCAACCTCGCTACTACAACTATATTACTAACATCATAAACAACAACTTTTGTTATATGATTTTCAATAATTGATCAAATTTTACTTTCGTACACAAATAAAACTATTCGAATAGATCGCTGTAAACGGTGACAACTCTGTGCGGTAATAAAAGAAAGCGCTAACGTAAATACCAGTCCGATGCAAAACGCAAGAGTGGGGGTTGGTATCGTCGGAGAGGGCCCTTCCACGTTTGAACTTACTATCTCCCTACCGAATAGAGATCTAAAAAAAATGTTAAATAGTAAAACAAACATGTAAAAGTTTGTTTTTGTTAAATTTATTATGTTTCGTAAAAAGTCTGTTAGGCATCCCTCCGCTTTGAAGATCGCCTACCTTGCACTCACCCCATTTTAATAGAAAACGGCGATCTTCATAGCGGAGAGATGCCTAACAAGTATAAGAACAAAGTTGTTGTTTATTATGTTAGTAATATAGTCCTGAGAGGTTTCTGGGATCTAGCAAATAACCCTATATACACAACAATATCTTTCACTATTTAAGTGACTAATTTCTAAAATGTGCCTGTCTGCGGGTTAAGGCACCTTATACAGTTTAACTTACATTTGATACACTTTAAATACATTACAAGACAATGACACTATTATTTTTGACGACCTCGATGCTCCAACGGTTTGCACTGTGCGCTCTGAATGAGGCGGTCCCGGTTTCAATTCCCGGTACGACCAATATGTGAAATGAACAATTTTCTGGTTTCTGGTTATAGTGCCTGTCGGAGTTAATACCGTTGTTCTGGTACCCATAGTATAGAAAATTTCCTAAGTAATTGATATTATAATTAAATAAGGTGATTGAATTGACCCATATTACTCGCTTTGGGTTTTGCATTATTTTCACAAATGTACAAGCTCAAGCTTGGCATTGAAGATTTAAATTCAACTTTCGATAAGAACACTCCAAAGTTAAAATGTCAAACGTGATGTGCTTTTCATCTAGTAATTAAAAATGAATCGTCACATTAACCATAGTAGAATGAAACAAGTATCGCAACTCCGTACAAAATAACAGCGCAGCTTGTATGTGTATACAACCGTCGCGCGCTGTGTACGAACGCACACGCGTACAAAGGCGAGTTGAGACGACTAGTGTTGTGCAACGCTTACAACCCTTAAGTTATGTAAATGTGTGCATCCTTACAGGGCGCGCACACATACAAGCCGCGCTGCGACGTTAGCGCGGAGTTATACTTGCTCTTATTCTACTATGCATTAACCACAGAACAATAAAAACAGTAGAAGTGGTTAGTCAGCGTCTGACGCATGCCAACTATAGGCCTCGAAAGACCTATCTGAGCTCAGTCCGCCATTTTCGCTATATAAAATCCTAGAAAAATTCCTTATAGTGCTGTTTAGAGTGCAAAAATCATAGGCGCACCACACAAGATGGTATTTCATAACATCGGAAAGTCTTATTTCAATAATATTTCAATTTCCTGTTTATCGAAATATTTTTTTGTTGCAAGAAACGAAAGTAAAGCTTTTACTCCTGCAATATGGTCGCTTCTTGTTTGTAAAACTAAATTAATAACCGTAATTCGTCGTCGTTCGTTCGCAATAAACAGCTAGTTTTTCATTTAATCCATTGATTGAAATTTCCATATAATATCAAAACGTTATAACTTGTAATAATAGGTACCTATTGATGGTATTGAACTTTCAACGATATGCCAACGGTAAATCCAGAATTTGTTATTTCTTTTTAAATTTGAAACTACGACCAATCAATGTCAAGATTTTGTAGTGTTTCAAATTAAGAATGTTCGACTTTTGGCGACATCGGTTCTGATAGTAATCGGGGCTTTAAAAAAAACAATGGAAGTGTCCATTGTTTTTTTTCTTCCGTGGCATTAACAGAGTATTAATCTTATATCTAAATTGTTATGGTAAACTTTTGATTTCATTACGAAAAAAGGAGAGAGAAAAATGTCAAACTAAACATTAGAAGGATGGTAATGCAATGCTATCGTCAATTTCCGTAAAAACACGAACAACTCCGATTGCTTGATGTTTTAGGAAATAGTACTGTATAATACAGTCGACGCCTTTATGAACTAAGATTGCGAGGGCTGGTTAATAGCTCAATCATTGACTTAACTGTCGGCATGGAATTAAATTCCTCACCTAATAAACTCCATATCAAAAGCTTACGTCACCGTTTTGCATGTCGGCCGATAATATACAATGTGTTGATAATAAAAATTGTTTATTGAAAATTTTACCTTCATTTATACAGCGTACAAATTACTTTTTATTTAACTGCCTCTGTGGCACGCTGAGGTCTCGGGTTCGATTCCCTGGCCGGAAGAAATCTTTATATGACCTACAGTTATTTCTCTCGTGATTTTGGGTGTAAGTTATGGTTATTCATGTGTGTGTCCATGGCATCCGGTGTACAGGGTTTCCCTATGGCAGGGCTATGAATTTGTGCGTTTTAGATTTTAAAAAATTGACCATTTCTATAATGTTCTTGTCACAACCAACATATTAGCACCTAAAGTTTTTTGTTACCTAAAAAAATGGCAATTACTCTGATTTTGCTTAACAATAAAACTGAAACTAAATAAGATATTAAAAAACCGATTAGAGCAGGTTGTAGATCTCGTGTCGCTGATCCCAGATATGTTAATAACTCAATTTAGCTAAAAATGTCTTTGCTTGTCTTTGATTGCGTTGGTTATGATCTTATGATAAGGAGGGCAGTATAGTGTCCTTATTGAACAACTTGCTTTTGCCCGTAACTCAGTAGCAGTAGAACTCCTTGTGAAAGAGTTCGTCCAGGGAAGTACTGCCACCTTACCTATTTCTGCCAACAAACAGTAATGTCAGCATTACTGTGTTCCGGTTTTGAAGGGTAAGGGTGCTGGTGAAATTACAGGCACGTGGGACTGGTCAACTTATGTCTCATGGTGACGGACACAGTGGCAGTGCCCCTCAGATCTTTGCGATTTAAAGCTCTGAATGGCATTGCAACTGTTGTGGATAGCTTACCATCAGGCGCACGACTTGTTCGTCCCGTCACTTAATATTATAAAAAAAGAAACATTTAAATAATATTGTACACTTTAACTGTTAGACTATAGAGCACAAACCAATGTAATATTTTAAAACTTTATGTAATTACCTGTAGTTATGCAATTAACGTCTTATTCTTACTGGGTAATAGTCCCCTGCAACAGTATGGAAAATGTAATGTACCCTGAGACAAAGATTAATTTTTAATTATGGTAGTTGGAAAATTACTCCTCTTTGCTGAATCACAGTATATTACAAACAAACTTATGGTAATGATACTGAAAAAGGCTAGGCTAGGTTTGCGGGTGTGGTCTGAGTATGTCGGGGTGCAGAGTTATGTATGTTGTGATAGCAAAAAGGGCCTAACTCAACATTATGCCGCAGTTCAGTTCAGACGATTCTGCCAGGTCCTAAGGTAAACTGGTAAAAAAAGTATCTCTCACCTCTTGCAGCGCCATTGCTTCGTATATTGTTACGTTTTCATAGTTCAGTCTAAAAATACGATCCATTATTTGTCACTTATTAGCATTTACCTGCGACTTTTTCCGTTTTTGTGCCTTTGTTAACAATGTTATAAAACTAGTTTAGTCCACAAAAAGCGACGTTAAACGGTGATAATTGTTAAATAGTCAAACAGAAGAATTTCGTCTACAAAAGTCAGTTTTTCCTTTGGTCTGTTAATAACAGTTAGACAATTCGCCATTTGGTATATATAATAAGGCCACATCTGCAAAGTGATAACTTTTCAGGAAAGAGGTTTAAATATATTCAGATGAAACTAGTCGATAACTTTCGCAAGTGTAAAACTTTATCTGTGGAACATATTATTAAACTAATTAAAAAGTCATCATTTTGCTCTATTTTCGTTCCTTAGTAATGTTTTGGTGCTTTAGCCAGTAAAAATAAGCCGAACCCAAACGAAAATTTCTCTTTCAAATCTGTTATTTATTCTTCCTCAGGTATTGCAACAAACCAATGACCATCGACACCGCGTCCTAGTCGCGGCAGCTAAAAACATCAAGAACTGGTTCGTCAAAGTGCGCAAGATCAAAGCCATTTATCATACACTCAACTTGTTTAACTTAGATGTTACGCAAAAGTGTCTTATCGCTGAGTGCTGGGTGCCTGCTCTTGATCTTGAGACTATTCAGCTGGCATTGAGGAGGGGAACGGTTAGTGATCTCTCCTTTATTGTTTGTTTTGATCAGTGCAAACTGGTCTTGTCGAACTTCTGTTGTATACCACGTTGCGTCATGTGTCAGCTTACACTGGACTTGTATGGTTGAGTACTATGTAAGAAATAGAAAACAGTTATTGGTCTGTTTTCAAAACAAAACTGAGTGCGTACTTTCTATACTCTAGCCAAATTCGATATGGAATGTTTAATAACAAAAGTTGCTAGGCAACCAATGATAGCAGGTGTAAAGAACATTTTATTGTCAATGCTCATTATTTGCGCTAGATTATAGGAATACAAATAGTTAAGTAGGTAGTTGGGTTATGGAGAATTAACTCTTACCAATAAAATCATTATGAAGTTTACAAAGTACCTGTTGATTTATGAATAAAGTGATTAAGTTTTTGATACCTATTAATATTTACTGCTAGACAGTAAGTAATGGTGGAAAAGGAACAATATATTCATTTACGACATATCTCATCCAGCATCAATTTCCGATTCTATACTTGAATGACTACTTCAACAGGAATGTTTGCAATCTCTTCCTTCAAAAAAAATAAATCGTTGGGGATGACACAGTTTCGTAAATAATTAATAACTGGTTATTTTTACTAGTGATTTGAAACTTCTATTGAACAAAATTTATCAATAGCCTAATCAAATTTCAAGGAAAAATATTGAAATTGTGGTAATTGTAAAACAGTCTGAGATGAAAACTCTAACCCTAAAAGCATGTTTGTTGACATTAATTCTACATCGAATTTGGCTAGAGTATAGAGCGGTAAGCATGTGGCAATCTTGTATTACATAAAACTAAATGAGAAGAAAAATCCCTATTAACCAAAATTAATAATTTGTAGGAACGCAGCGGCAGCTCAGTACCACCGATCCTGAATCGAATGGAGACGTTAGAAGACCCCCCGACATACAACCGCACCAACAAGTTCACTAACGCCTTCCAAAACTTGATTTACGCGTACGGTGTTGCTACTTATCGGGAAGTCAATCCAGGTGAGTATCTTATACCTACTATGTGCTCTACTATAATTCAGTTACTATATTGCACGTTCAAAACAAAATAGTCATTAAACGAAAATCTCGCTTTTTCAAATTTAAACTTCTTTTCATACGACTTTAAACGCCAAAGTTGACTTTTTCTTTTAATGACAGTATTGGTTTCAACTTGTTATGGAGAGTTCGGGCAGCTTATACTAGTTTAAATTTATTCCACATTTTTTCACATTTGATTGCTGAACCACAGCACTTTTTGGCACCGCTTTAATAGACAATGAGTGTCTATTATAGCTAGCGTATGGAATGACATTTGTAACAAGACACGCCGACGAACCTGAAAATTGTCACAAACGTTTTATACCCAAATGTTTCGTCGTTTGTAACATTTTTCAGGTTTGTGGGTGGACCATATTTTGAAAGCTGTGCTATAGTGGTGAGGCTATAGATTTGTATACGTTAACGTGCATAAGTTAACAATAGTTGTTTATTTACAGCTCCATATACAATAATCACATTCCCGTTTCTATTCGCGGTGATGTTCGGTGATTTGGGCCACGGCGCCATCATGGCCGCGTTCGGATTCTGGATGTGCTACAAGGAGAAGCCGTTGCAGGCAAAGAAGATTGACAGCGAGGTACCATACTATACCGAGTAGTCCAGCAATCATTATTTTAAGACAAATTAGTTTAAGGTACAGGAAAATAAAATTTGAAAATCGCTTAAGTAAAAAAGTTTTTTCAAATGCAAACTAAAATTTATTATCCGACCGAATTACTTAGCACCTTATACAGATTAATTGTAAAATAGTAATGACCTCGCAGGACTATATTGCTAACATCGTAAACAACAACTTTTTTTGCGACTGCGGTCACATCGACTCCAACGACTTCTAACGACGAATGTATAAGGTATAAGCATATGCTCTGAGATTAACATAGATGCTAATAAATTATCCATTTCAACAGATCTGGAATATATTCTTCGGCGGGCGCTACATCATCCTCCTAATGGGTCTGTTTTCAATGTACACCGGTCTAATGTACAATGACATATTCTCAAAGAGCTTGAACATCTTCGGATCATCCTGGCGTCAGAACTATAACCAGTCAACGCTTGAAACGAACCGATTGTTGCAATTGAATCCTGATTCCTATGATTACATACAGAAACCTTATCCGTTTGGTATCGACCCTGTCTGGCAGGTGAGTCCAATTTTACTACTATGACTCGGCTGTATGGCTCATCTGTGGCAATGCAGACGCTTCGGTGGCAGAGCATGAATCAATGCATAGCGCCCTACTTTCTCAAACTCGTATGGATAGTATATACAAATTTTGCAGGCTGATTTCACGTCACATTTCCTTCATATTAATACACTGCTTTTACCTATTCTTAAAGTAATGCATCACTCTTTATAAGTTAACGAGTTTGAGAAAGTAAGGCATCGAAAAGGTAGATGCTGCGCGATAATGAGTTGTTTCTATTATTATATTCAATATTAAATCATGAAAAATATTAAAGGGTGGGGCCGGTGTGTGGCTGTCGGTAGTCATCGGTATATTACAAATAAGTCGGTCAATCTGTACAGCAATAGGCCTAACCTACTTCATTATTCCGCATATAAATTTATGTTCGATGCCATAATTTTAGTTTGGCACATAATAAGTAGCGAACTTCAGCACTCGTATCATTAACTAGCTTTATAAAATTTGAATTATCGGTTTCAGCTGGCAGAAGCGAACAAGATTATCTTCATGAATGCGTACAAGATGAAAATATCCATCATTATCGGCGTGTTCCACATGTTGTTCGGTGTTTCGCTTTCGCTTTGGAACTACATGTGAGTCCTCTATCTTCTCGCAGTCCAAGAGATGTCTGGGCCCATATCCATTAAATTATAATCCACTCTGATTAAAAGTCAACACCAACAACAAAAAAGAATCGGAAAATCACTCAATGCGAAATGATCCTAGGTTTCGAAGCGTGTGAGGTAGACCCCCAGACATGTGCTATTGTAAGATGTTTCGATACCTCCAATGAACACTACGCCAACTAAATTTTTGGACCAGTTCTGTTTTTATTTTGTTTCTTTTTTTTTCACAAAATCTGTTTTTTGTTTTTTTCGAATTTTGTTTTTTGTTTCTTTATTTTTTTTCACAAAATTCGTGGAGCATAGTATTAGTAAATAAATATGGATGTTTACAAAAATAACAGAAAATTACCAAAAAAATAAAGTTGGCGTAATGTTCATTGCAGGTATCGATTTAAACTCTCAAAACACAACACGGGAGAGAAAATTTAATTAAAATATCTCTAATAATAATAATTGAATGACGCTTATTTTATTTTATTTAGATTTTTTTTAATCAAGAGAAGTTTAGTCAATCGTGTCTGGGATCTCATAGTTCACTACCGGTATCTTCGGTATTATCAATTAAAAAAAAAACAAATTTAATTCGTATTTTTCGATTATTAATGCCGAATTACTTGAAAACTTCTATTTTGGGTCTCACTACCCAGTATTTTACCACAACACAAAGTCATAATTATATCTTTCCATTACTAGGTACTTCAAGAAGCGCATCAGCATCTACGTTGAGTTCATTCCTCAAATCTTGTTCCTGGTTCTTCTCTTCTTCTACATGGTGTTGCTTATGTTCATCAAGTGGACCACGTACGGATCCAGCGGACCTGATCATTTCGGCAGTCAGGAACCCGGTAAGTTTATATTATTTTAAGCCTATAATTAATTGCAAAGCAAAAAGTACAGCATTGGAGGGAACGAAGAGCCAGGCCAATAACTACCATAACTTACAGATTTATGACCTAAAACTCGACAAATATTTATTAGGCTCTGGGCTGTATCATAATGATACATAAGTGGGGACCGCTGTACCCACTTATGTATCATTATGAACCCATAGATGCCCTCTGCCCTTGGAACGAAAAAAGACGCAACTAACATTTTTATTGAAATTAATTTATACAGAATTATTTGTCAAATACTTTATAGAAACCGTGGTAGCCTAATGGTTTAAACTATCGTCTCTCAAGTAGAGGGTGCAAATCCTGGCTTGCACCTCTTAAGTTTTTCCGAATTTATGTGCGAAATTTAATTTGGAATTTACTATGAGCTTTTCGGTGAAGGAAAACGTTGTGAGGATACCTGTTAAGCTTTCCTATAAGTTATTACCAAATACAGATAGTACCACAAAAACTTCAGTTTTATTTTTGGTAAATTTATTGTGTTTTGTAAAAAGTCATGGAACAAAAGTCGTCGTTTAAGATGTCAATAATGTATTTTTTTAATTTTATTTATTTATTTGTATTCAGGAACAAAGACCCATAAATACATACCTTATAGACTAACGTACATAAAAATACAATAAAAACACTAATGACTAATTATTATTTACACGTATTGTCTGCGACGGGTTACGCTACGTGGATGTCCGATAGCCGGCCTCGGAAACAGTTTAAATATAGTCCTGCAAGACTGTTAGTATTTTACAAACAATCCTGTATAGTTCGGTTACAATAATTACTCTGTAAATAACACTTAACTATACATTTAAATAGGGTATGCTCTTTATATGCAAAAAAATTTTTTTATATATTTTTCAACTAAGTTAGACTATATATGTATATACATGGCAGACGTTTGCCTAAACCCTCCTTTAGAAGAGAATTGTGCAAAGCAGTGTGACAATTAAAAATAAATAAAATGTATTTATTTCATGAATAATGATGGTTTAAAAAACGATACAATTCCCATTTTAAAGATCACATTTACACCTAAATGTTGGAACAAATATGAACACCAGAAATAATCAGCATCAACCGTAACGCCTGTAGTGGTGGCTTGGAATTTTGTATTTTGTTTTGTTCGTCTTTCTTGTTGTATTAATTTTGCATTAATGAGTCTTATACACCGAGTATATAACCAGAAATAAAGACGAAACATGGGCCATCCTAACCTGGCAACTCATCAGGCAAATGGGCCTTATATCACTTTTAAATATCAACTGTCGTTTGCATTGAAATCACAAATTAGAAAGCTGGAATAGTACAGCGCCAACAACTGACCTGTGTGTACGTCTCCGTATATACCAACAATATTCTGTATTTATTGTAATATAGTTAACACCTCTAATTATGGGGGGCTGTTCCATTTGGTGCTGTGGGAAAAACAGCAAAACATCTAATTACAAAAGAAACGGAATCACATTTCATCTGTAATTAAATATTAAATATGTAATTTTTCAATTTTCGTCGATTATAGCAAAGCTCAAACTGGTTGATTCGAAGTGAAAGAATTGACGACACCCGTCAATTGTTTCGAATTCGGGCCGGCCAATCGGAGCGTAGTTGTTATCGTAATGATTCGACAGAATAGTTTTCAAACAAATTACATTTAATTCAAATGACATTTCGTCTCTATTTCTGGGTATATACTCGATCCTCTTATATTACCATAGTCAAACAAACTAGGGCATGTAACTATTTTAAAAATGTGTTTCGTTAAACAGAAATTGTAAAAACGAGCGGGTATTGCGCACCATCGATTCTGATCACGTTCATCAACATGATGCTGTTCAAAACGGACCCGAACACGCGACCTCAGTGCGACGTCGCCATGTTCGGCGGGCAGATGGTTATACAGAAGGTGAGCTGTGTACATAAAACTCAACTCCCAACATCGCTAGATAGGAGAGATAGATAAATACAATCTCTGTTACACAACAACACATGACAATAAAATAAATTCAAACAGAAGTGAAAGTTGACCAAAAAATTGTATATTAATTGAACGTATCACGGAGAGTGTTCCATTTAATTGGCAATTGCACATTTTTTCAATGTGCCCTTTATAATTATTTTTTTTATAATATTACGTGACGGGGCGGACAAGTCGTGGGCCTAAAGTAAACTACACGCCTGTTCATAACAGTTGCAATGGCATTCAGAGGTTTAAATCGCAAAGATCTGAGGGGCTCTGCCACTGCGCCCGTCACCATGAGACATAAGTTGAAAAGTCCCATGTGCCTGTAATTTCACCAGCACCCTTACTCTTCAAAATCGGAGCACAGTAATGCTGACATTACTGCCTGGAGGCAGAGATAGGCAAGGTGGCAGTACTTCTCTGGACGAGCTCTTTCACAAGGAGTTCTACTGCCGCGTCAATTTGTCCTTGTAGACCATTGACTTACAATTATATGGACATCGGGTTCGCGCTAAAAAGTGTCCGAACTTATAGGGCGTTAAAATCGTATACAGAGTATTCACGCTTTAGTCTTCGTTTGTTCGACTGACAGCGAAGCAAGCAAAATTAGACAGTACTGCGATGACATTACAGTTTAAATTCAACGTTTTAGCTTTTTCATATTCCTTTACATGTCACTACGTTTAAATAGGTTGACTTGGGACATTTTTTTCGTGATTTTTGTATAGACCCGTCGTCCATTTATTTGTAAGTCAATGTTGTAGACCCATATTTTGTCATCATAATTCATATTTTTCAAAAGCCAATGTCATCCATCAAAAGTGCTTTTATCACACAAAAGTCATAAAAATTATATGAACTTCATGAAAGAAATTAAGTACAAATGAAATTTCGCAAATTCCGTTAGTAGCATTTTTAAACCTCTCTACTGAAAAGTTGTAATTTTACAAATGTGGCCTTATTACACCAAGGGTGTGATTTAAGGCCTGTAAAATTAGAATAATAATAAATAGGAAAAGTATAAATAAATATTAGACAACATCACATGCGTTGCTCTGATTACAAAGTAAGTAACTAAAGCACTTGTGTCATCGGAAATTGTGAAATCGGAAACAACGACGGTACCACAAACACTCAGACCCGAGACAATATAGAAAAGTTAGTTTTCTACATTGACCTAGCTGAGGATCGAACCCGGGACCTCAGATGTGGCGACACCATGAAAACCGGTGTGCAAGCCGCTCCACCACGGAGTTCGTGAAGTCAATAATACTGATATGGGTGCATTGCTTGCAGGTTTGTGCGACCTTGAAGGTTAAATATATGTGGCCTTTTTACACGAAGGTTGCGAAATAGGGTTAGGTAATATTTACAATGCCCTGATAGACTCAAAAAGGTCACTAATATTTTAATTCAAAGCAAAACCGATTCTTACAAAACTCACAGATGTCTTCTCATAATAACTAATATAGTTTTATTAGAATACATGAATTCATTTATCGTGAAAGCTTGAAATTACACATTTACTTTATTGTTAATTTGTCCTGTCATCTTTTGTAGGCGGAGAAGAACCGATTTATCGGTTTTGAGAAGCATTTGTAGTATTTTACCACGATTCGTCGTCAAATAAATACCGTTTAACTAATAGCGTGTGTTGTTTTAGATTTTCGTAATTTTGGCTCTTTGCTGCGTGCCGGTGATGCTGTTCATGAAGCCGTACTATATCATGAAGGAGCAGAAGAAACGCGCTGTAAGCACACATTATTTTTTTATTTTCATAACATTGACTTTTGGGAATCGATGTACATGTTTCTTAATGTTCCATGCTTTCTTATTGATAAAAAGTTGGAGGTAAGTAAAGGTGCCTACAGATTTGATCGATTTTTTGACGATCAACTCGTGTCAGTTGCAAAACATACGATATCGGTCGTCATAAAGTCAAGCGAATCTGTTTACACCTTAGCAAATTGAGTTCTAATATAACTATAATATAAATTTAGAATAGATATATATTGTTAATAAACGAGATCAGTTGAATATTAAATATTCGAAATGCTCTCTGCCAATATTACAACGTAACTTTTTTGCTTTATTAAATCCGATTCTGTAGAATCTTTTATCTGAGAAGAAAAATACTATTGATGTTTGAAAAACTTTATAGAACTGAAATATAAAAATGTGTAATTGATTGCGAACAGACACAAGGGCACCAGACGATTGAGGGCGCGGCGGAGAACGGCGCGGCGGGCGGCGCGGTCGTGCCGGCGCAGGCGCCCCACGACGAGGACATCACCGAGGTCTTCATCCACCAGGTATGTGGCAGTAGAAGTATTACATGGGCGCTGGTACATTATCTATTAACGAATATACGGACTCTATTGTTAATTATATATAGTTAGTTGAACTATCACTTGCTCAATAGTTTATTGCATTCCCAAAAATTTACAATATAGCACACACATACACACAGAGAGGGCAAAATTTAACAAATAAAATCTTCAAAAACCTTACAAGAAACAAAATACAATTTATACAAAAAGCTATTATAAACTACTGTAATACTATATTATTATAGTGAAAGATTAATAAATATCTATATATGCTATTAACAAAGAAAATAAAATTAATAACAATAACAAAATATTGCGGTCGCATCTATGCCTAGTATACTTATACTTGTATGACATACAAGTTTAAAAGAAAAGTAAAGTTAAGTTTAGTTGACCTAAATACACAGTGTACATTAATTATTTTAATAGGAACATATTTGTTTATAGTTTAAATATTCGCTTACATTGTAGTAACTTTTACTTACTAAAATTTTTTTCAAATATGATGATTGCTTAAACAATGCTGAAAAACATTTTGACTTAACCCGTTCATCAGTGAAGGTTCTTTAATTCTTTTAAGTCCCCATCCTGCTTTGGGCTAGCACAAATATTTGTATGGTCTGTTATTCTCTCTTTAGCCTCTGCCAGATGCGACGAACATATGGCTTAATAAACGAGACAAATCCGACACTACACAAGATAATTAATACTCTACCATCTGACGACACGGTTAACTTTTGTAAGATCAAAAAGATACTTCGTCGGTGTTTAGAACAAAAGGCGAAAGCACCTTTTCGAGAAATTTTTCACGGGATCATGTTATAGGTTTTAGCGACTGTTTCAAAATAATTGCGTCCTGTTTTAAAATCCAATTTTGGTTTTAATGAAGTTTAAGGTTTAAAATTGAATTTAAAACAGGACATAAATATTTTAAAATAGCCGTGTAAAATTAAAACATTTTTATAAAACAACAAACCCTAAAAATTTTTGGAAATGCCCTTTCGCCCTTTCTACAGAACACTAACGACAATATATTTTTGTCTTGCCCGACTTTCGAATTATAACCATTTGTCAGTTGAGTAACAATTTTTATTGTAGGTTCTCGTTTATGATCTATTTAAATCTTACAGGCAATCCACACGATCGAGTACGTGTTGGGTAGCATTTCCCACACAGCGTCGTATCTGCGCCTTTGGGCGTTGTCGCTGGCGCATGCGCAGCTCGCTGAAGTCGCGTGGAACATGCTGCTCAGGAAAGGTATACAATTGTCGTTTGTGTACACTTGATTGAAATACGTTTTCCATAATTCCGTTCTTTTCACAGTTTACTTACGTCTTTTAGTGACAGATCTGATAATTAACTTACATCCTATAAGTTATCCATCTACTGATGTATACAATAAGTTACAAAATCGTGTATACGTATATTATTTACCCCTTCGACTTATATTTTCTTAGAATTGTAAGTAATTAGTGAATGAGTAAAAGTGTATGTATAGTCCGTCTTTTTTAAAGACGGAGTGAAATGACGTTTGTAGGCTTGCCAGTTATCTTAGAATTTTAAATAGTTATGTAGTTAAGAATATGTTGTAATATGTTTAAGTTTTTGTAAAAGTATTAAATAAATTAAAAAAAAAAAAAAAAGTTATCGATAGTTTTATCTATAGATTGTAAAAAAGAAGACAAAATTTTGCCAAAAATTACTGAATTGTGAATGTTACGGCGTTCTAATAATTACTAATTACGTTATTGCTTTCTTTATACTTATTTTGACAGTTGGTCTACTAGTATCGAGATCAATTTTTATTCATATACATACAGATTTTTTACAAGAATAGCCGGATTTGATTATCTATATTGAATTAAAATTAAAAACTTCAAAATATTTTTCCTTTTTGTATTTTTAAAACATAGTTGTAAATACAGTGTATGTATAACATTGACTTACAATTATATGGACGTCGGGTCCGCGCTAAAAAGTGTCCGCACTTGTAAGGCGCTAAAATCGTATACAGAGCGCCAAACTCCGCTTTAGTCTTCATTTGTTCTACTGACAGCGCGATACTGCGATTACATTACAATTTAAATTTCGAATAGGTTGACTTGGGACATTTTTTTCGTGGTTTTTGTATTAGACCCGTCGTCCATTTATTTGTAAGTCAATGATGTATAAACTTAATTATATTATATGTATAAAAAATTGACAATTTAAAAGAAGTTGTGCGCAATAACTGGATAAATAATGGGTCGAGGATGATTCAAATGAAACAAGTTCGGCTATATATTTCATTACTGTGGCCAATATTCAGTCGATAGTCGATAGAATATTTATCGACTGCAATCACTAGCTGCTCGCAAGCGGGCAAGATTTTTCCGCAGTAAACTGACATTTTACTCTGTCTTCAAAAAAGACTGACTATAAGTGCTGAAAAAATTGATTTTAATTTACAAAGGGTGTATGTATAAAGCCATGTACTGTGGATTGTCTATTCATTTTACTTATGAATGAATTTTTTTTTTTTTATTATCGTTTCACATAACAACGGTTGACTAATTAGGTTGGCTAATTTTTTCAATCAACTTGCTATTGAATATCGTCAGAAACTTGAAATTATCGCGTGTACATCGCGAAATAACTGGTTACGTGAACTGTCACTCCTCCCGTACCGCACAGCTACCTCAGGAACCGACTCTGTGATGCGGTAGGCTTGTACTTTACATGGTTTTATATTCGCTTCAGGTTTGAAGTCAATGGGCTACGAGGGCGGCATCATCTTATACGTAGTGTTTGCGGGGTGGGCCGCCATCTCCGTCGCCATCCTAGTGTTGATGGAGGGTCTCTCCGCCTTCCTTCACACTCTTCGTTTGCACTGGTATGTTGTTTATAAACACCATAAATCACATAATCTAGTAACTCCTACACCCGTTTCAAAAGTGGCACGAAGTTGACCACGATCCTCAGATATGGGGGAACGACCAGAGAGAGAGAGTGTAACTCCTATAGGTAGATTATGGGGCGCACGAAGTGAAGCTACTCGTCCAATCATGTCAAAATCAAATAGGCTAATGCTTACATACGTAAATCGTACAATACATAGAGTTACTCCCTCCTCAACTTTGACAGAGGCGACTTGTTTGCTATGGATATCTAAACTAATTTACAAAACCCATTAGTTAGAGAAATGGTGTATAATGCGCCCTGTTATTAACTTTGAAAGTAGTAAAGTTCTCGGAACTGATTACTCCAGTGTGATCATTACATACATAAAACATGAGTCTTTCTTCAGGGTGGAGTTCCAGAGCAAATTCTACCAAGGTGAGGGCTACCTCTTCCAACCTTTCTCGTTCGAAGTGATCCTTGACTCCGCGGGCACCGGAGAAGAGTAATTTCTACAATGAACTTCCACAATGTCATCATTCGTTATACTGCAATATGGGCGCCAAATTTGTAAAAGTGGCGCCCAACCCGGGACTTGTATAAATTTCATTCAAAAATATATTAACCCCAGAAAATCGACTCGTTTATTAATACATACTTCTAATTTTTGTCCTATTTATGACATTTTGATGACGTAGTGTGGGAGCGAGATGTAACAAATATTGTAGTACCATAGAAGGTTTAATAATCGCAAAAAGTAACAACCTTAATTAGTAAGTGTATGCAAGCTGTATTCGTTATAATAATAAGAATTACTATTTATGAATTTTCAATGTGTCTCGAAGTGGCAGCTTTGCAATGGGCCTTTCACGAAGTTTAAAAGTATAGGTAGAATGTTCTTTAAGAATTCCAACTTTATCTTGTAGTAAGTCTTATCTCGATTTTATAGCTTAAACGTTTGTTGTAAATTTCCTTTCTTTCAAGGGTACGCGGGCGAAATTTTATATTTTGTTAGAAGAAACCTTTTTTTTATTTAATCAGTTTTTTGTAAGAGGTAATAAATGTGTGAATTATAATTTGTTTTGTATTCTTACTGAACCCGATGTACTTAAATTATTTTTATAAATCGCATTGTATGTCCCAGGCTCTCTCTAATTGTTATTAACAGTAAACGAGTACGTGTTAGAAGTGAATACATAATATAATTATCATTCCAGTAGATGTTGAAGAAATAATCAATGCGCTTAAAAGTAGTATGCATGTAGTATTCCTATGTGGTTATGAATAAATAAACGTTTCATTCGAGCATAGAAATTTTTGTTTTATTTGTAACTTATATCTGAAACCGCGTGCCTTTTATTCCAGCGTGACTATGATTGAGTTTTTGAAATTTGACTAGCCAGAAAACAGCTACTATTTAGTCGGTTCTAGTCGCAAAAAACTAGATTTAGTCGGTCCGCCGTTTAAAAGTTATAGCGTATTTTACTGTCTACGTTGGAATAAGCTTATTCCAGCGGCACCGTTTCTCCATCTCGAGAACTTCAACACCTAGCTTAGATCTCTACAGCCCTACGGCTACATCGACATAAAGCGCGAAATACAGCTATTTTTGTAAAGAGAATAGAAATATCACGCGCTTCTATGTCGCTCTCGCACAACTCGCGCCTGTCGTGCTAGCCCTACTGATTACACTAAAAAAGTCGTGATTTAGTCGGTTCTAGGCATTGACTTAAGTCAATGGTTCTAGGCGTAAAAAACTAGATTTAGTCGTTACGCCGTTTTGAAGTTGGTGTTTTACTGTCCACGTTGGAATAAGCTTATTCCCGGCACCATTTTTAAATCTCGAGAACCACAGCTCCTTAGATCTGACTGCACCCAGAAAAAGTTGTGAATTGGTAGGTTCTAGTCGCGAAATTTAATATCCAATATCTTCTAAAGAAAGCAGCGACTAATTCTAAAATTTCGACGACGACGAACGTATTTTGTAGTTAAAATTTGAGGGTGGGAGGAGTGGAGGAGGCGAAGGAGGTTTGGCACGAGCGTAGCAAATGGAGGTCCATAGTCTCTGCCTACCCCGGTGGTTTTTTATTAGAAAATAAAAATCCGTACCATATTTGAAATCCAGATTTGGAAAACTGATTTCTCATTGATTCCAGGTAATCCGGATTTTTTCGGAAATGATTTCAATAGGTTCGCGATTTACTTGAAAACGTTTTGGTATAATATTAATCAAATTTTAATCTAATCTTCGATAGGTAATAGAAATCAGTCTTCTTCATTTTTTACCAGTATTCGTTGTAATGTAATTTTTTTGTTATTTGTGTATTTAGTTCAGGCTCATGACCCATAATGTTCGTGTAATTGTGGGGGGGTACGAAAGGAGCCTACGCATCTTACGTCGATTAGCAAATGCTTTCACCACAATGGCAAGCATTATAATGTATGACATCAATACAATAAGAAGCTAATATTCAAAATATAAGAGTTAAGATAAAAGAAAGATATTTCACAGATTTATTTTACGACCTCCCTTACACAAAATTTGATTTTATGTAATACAATGTGAGTGAAATAATCTTGGTTAAGAATCTCAAAGTTTCTTAACCAAGCTTATAAACACCAGCTTATAATGTAGAAAATGTAAAATACTTTTAATCGTATTCTGCGCCAATAGTAATGCTTATGTCTCCAGGCAGCACATTCGTCTTGTGGTACCATCGATTTGTGTCCACCACCACTGCAACAACGAAAATAATAATATTACACGGCCATAATAATATTAGGCTCGCTTCTTTTATTCCAGCGTGATCATGCTCGGGTTTTCAAATTAAAAATATTCTTATATTATAGTTGCCATTTAGTCGGTTGTAGTCGCAATAAACAAGATTTAGTCGGTCCATTGTTCAAATGATTACAGATAAAAAATAAGCATGGTACCGCCGGAACCTAGTGACCGCCATGAAGGAAAAGTAATAATAATAAGCTTATTCAATCGTGGATAGTAAAACATTTTTCTAATTTAGCGTGACTGTCACGCAGAGGTCCCAGGTTCGATTCCCGGGCCAGGAGAAATATTTGTATGGTCTACATTTATTTCTCTCGTGAGTTTGGGTGTAATTTGTGGTTGTCTATGTGCGTCCATGGCACTCGCGACACAGGGTTTCCTTAGTGCGGGGCTAGGTTGATGTGTGTGCGTTATTATTATATTATTTAATTTCAAAATGGCGTAACGCCTAATTCTCCGGCAGAGAGTCGCGCAATCAACAGCCCATGAGGATGCCTCGTGGAGAGGCAAAACACGTGTCGGATATATTTTTGGTGGTAGTGTCTGTGACAGTAGTTGTGCTTGTGTTATTTATTTTATTAATTTAATGCAGAGGGAGAGTGGGAAAATTAACTGCATGAAAAAATATTCAACACAAGGCAGCCGCCTTAAAAATAGCCATTTTGCACGATTTAACTTTCATTGGGTTCGCGGAGTACCAAATTAATTTACTTACATACCACACCCCGGACACTCCATACAACGGTCGAAAATTATTTACCACTACTACTACATACAGCAAGGCGCTATCTGCACACGCGCGAATGTGTGAAGTGACAGGGTTCCCCATCACTTGCTCGTACTATTTACGTTACATGGTCAGAGCGGCAACATAGCGAAAATTCTAACGCGAATCTGTTACCTATAATTATGTTATATAATCCTAATAATTATACATGTTCATTACGTATTTATATCGATATAATATTATATTTTTTATTAATTCACTAACTAGAATAATATTGAAGATTTATTTAAAAAATATACTACTTTGGACTACGTAATATTTATCGGCAATACAAATTGAAAATTCTAGAACCGTTGTCTAGCTCACGAAGTTATGGCGTCTTATTATATTGATATAATAAATCTATATTATACCTATATTACTCTGCACTAAAGAAAACAATAACTGAATGAGTCTCAGACATTTTTTATTTACTTCGTTTCATCTTCAAAAAACAACAGAAACTCCTCTCTTTATCCCGTTTAGATGATTATAAACAGCCGTACACTACACAATTCACGACTATTATGAATAGTAACATAAAATCTCGCCGACAGCCTTGTACTCGTTCAGTCAATGTGACCGTCAATGTATGGGGCGTAGTGCGGTATCTAAAGTTAGGGAGGGGCGGAGAGTGTCCGTTCTCATTACTTATTTGTTCTCTGTCCATACTTCCCTCCAAATCTAGTTTTTTATAACTAGAACTGATTAAATCACTACTTTATTTAGTGCCATCAGGTGCACCATCCGAGCCCCCCCGTAAGACGTACCTACTAATCATATTCCCTGTAGATACAGGATCACAAGCACGTCAAGCTTAACACTTAAAATTTAAATCTAACTCCATGCCGATTACGATAAGAACGTCCAAAGTACAAAGTGTCAGGCTTGACGTGCACTTGACTGGCGTCTGGCGTACGTCTGGCGCAACCTGAATAACAATCAGCGAAAACCTTACGCCGTTTGGTAAGCCTTTCACCACGATGACAAACATGACCATGACATACTTCTGGGCTGCAAGTCTATACCATCGATAAGAAGAAGAAGTGCCATTAGATCTAAATTTTTGTGCTAAGGTTCTCGGGACTGAGGACACCTAAGCTTATTTCAGCGTGGAGAGTAAAAACTGTTAATAACGTTTGAACGGCAGACCGACTACATCTAGTTTTTTGTAACTAGAACTGATTAAATGACTGATTTTTTTTACACTCGTAGCCCCGCACTAGGGAAACCCTGTGTCGCGGGTGCAATGGACACATGCATAGAACACTACAAATTACACCCAAAGTCACGAGAGAAATAAATGTATATAGATTTTAAGACTTTCGTGGTTATTCACTAAATGATTATCACTAGTATCAGGTTTCTTACCACGGTATGACCGTATGCCGTCCAGTCAACCCGTGACCATGGAGCGTGCAACCGTTCCGAAATATCGGGAAAATAAAAACAAGTCATACTGAGTGATAACATCATTTAGAAATAAATGTAAGCCGTACAAATATTTCACCCGAGAATGGAACCTCTGAATGGCAGACCAGCGTGGCAACCGTTCAGCCACCGAGGCAGTTATTTTGTACCCGACTAGTCCAATTTCAAAAATTTGATCATGGTCACACAGGGACACAATAAGAAACGCCATAGACTCAAAGTAGTGTGTCAATTGTCACACATTGTAATCTACGCAAATTAACTAATTTGTTAATTAACCTACAGTAACAGATAAATTTCACCACCTCATCATTCCTTTTTTTAACATTACGGATGCCCATGCCGGAGACTGTGTTTTGCAGCATAAACTTACGAATTTCTCCCGGAGCGACGGTGAAGCTAATCCAGTTGCATTGGTAGAGGCATTCTGGGGGTGGAGCCAGCTGCCACTGTTTGTGTCCACGAATCTGCGCTTGCCAAGACATGTGACGTACCGAGTCCACCTATAGAATACAAATACCTTACTGATTACGGAAATATTGTGAATTTGTACTTGAGCCCAAAAAAAATGTAGAGTATTCCCGGTTGCTGGAATGCTCGAACATTCGCGAGCTGTCACGCGCCTGCGCCTTGAGGCTTTAGTATTTCATCGACGTTTGACGTCACACTGCCTACGTCGGCCGCTACGGAATTCTCGCGAACGCGCTAGCATTCTGGAGTATGCGTGAGAATTCTGCGGAAGACGCCTGACGTGATTTTTGGTTCCTTTCTAGTTTGTACGTTACACAATCGACCCTAAAGTTCATTATACTATGTATAATGTTATAAAAATTCGCTTCTAGCCTACTATGCCTACTAGAGAGCGCCAGGGTATTGATTGCACCCGGGCTGCAAGGGCTAGCGCTCGTACTGATAAACTTACAGAAACTACACTTACGTGCATATGCGCGCCTTGTCCAGGTCCTCCCATAAAGATCCAATCCACCATATCGCTTTCCGCAGTCTTAGGCAGAAAATAGGGCCTATTATAATAAGCCCTTAGCTTCCTTGTCTCATCGTCATAGCAGGTACTCCATCCAACATACCAAGGGTGTCCAGACAGGTTGGCCCTTTTGTCGTCCATTGAAAATACTTCACGTAACGAGTTTAGTCCGGATTTATACGCGAAATAAAAGCAATCGTTGATTTGTTTACCCATCTTTTCATTGCGATAGAATTCGGCAAAGAATTTGAAATCGAATTCCTGTAAAATGGTTATAGTTTTTCACGAGATGTTGTAACAAATATGTGAGCTTTTATATCCATTGCTTTTTCTGTCTTCAAAATAGGTATTTAGGTATCAATGTCAATAGACTCTCCCCTACCTCGTTCCTAGATCGCTTCTAAATAGCCCGCTAGAAAGAGTAGGTACTAGTATATTGAAAGTTAAAAGTGAAATGGTCATTGCTATAAAAAATGCATATTTATGGCTTCTTAACAGGCTTTGATTTATAGGTCTGCAAACTCACATTAACAGCCTTCCATCCTGCTGTAGCGTCAGTAACTATGATAGGCTTTGCTTTATACGCGTACTCTTCTTCGAAGGTCTGTGATGATATGTTCGAAACACGCACCACATCTTCTATTCCGATACACACTGAACAATCTTCCGGAGGACGGAAAAGGGATTTCGCTTCTGATGGAAGTTCGAGGAGGCATGACTGAAAAAAATTAGGTACTTAATATGATGGTCGATACAGTATCAATAGCAACAATGGAAGCAAAACAACTGAAAACATTTACTCAGTAAATCAGGAAAATCACTCAATAAAAGTATGTAATGCGATTCTTGGTTATCTGAGAAGTGGTAATTTAGCAACACTTAATCGTTTTGAGGACACTCAGGGTCGTATTCCAGAACTCTACTCAATGCTCAAGTCGGGACTTGAGTATGATTTAAAGCACTGAAAATCATACTCAAGTCCTTGCCATTAGGGTCCTATTTCCAGTGCTTGAAATCATACTCAAGTCTGCGCAAGTCCTGACTTGAGCATTGAGTAGAGTTCTGGAATACGACCCTCAATATTTTACTGTTAAAGAAATTCCAACTCAACGTAAATCAATAATAATTTCTATTCTACATACCTTTTCCTGTATCTCATTGTATTTCCACCACAAACCAGAAATGAAGCACAGAAGAATAATTAAGAACAACGCTTTGAAATGCGTTTTATCTTTTAGAAAATTCACATCAAGGTACCTACTTTTTATTTTACTTTTATTCGGAACTTTTATTTGAGAAATATACGAATTTTCGAGTTTTAAAGTTTCGATTTTGTTTAAAATTTTGATAATTTTAAGTTCCGCTGTTTTATATTTTTTGTCGTAAACCTTTGCTGTGTACTTCATTGTTGCGTTCTCGCCCATGTTCTGTTATAGAGTGAGGGAGATTGGACTCTTCAGCGATTTTTATAAGCCTTCGTGATGCAGAGCTTTGAACGAGAGATATGTGACGTGAGAGAGTCGGAGATATAAAAAAGGTCTTGCTCATTTTATAATAACAAAACTAAATCTTGTAGATTGATAGATCTCGATTTACAGACCGAAGACAAAACTACACTTTAAAAATGTGCTCGTGGCAGTTGGGATTCGTTTATAATCAATTACTGTTAATAAATATTTAGCTACTTACTTATTAATATAAGCTGTACAAGTTCAGTTGATATATTTTAACCGAATTCAAAAAAGGTCCTCAATTCGACTGTATGTTTTTGTGTAATGTTACGCGATTATTGTGATACGCGATCATTTGTGAACTGATTTTGATGATTCTTTTTGTAGGAAAGAGGGTACCTCAGCATTGGTCTCATTTTTTATAACATCAAGTGACGGGACGAACAAGTCGTGCGCGTGATGGTAAGCTACACGCCAGTCCATAACAGTTACAGTGCGACTCAGAGCTTTAAATTGCAACGATCTGAGGGGCACTGTCACTGCGCCCGTCACCCTGAGACATAAGTTGACAAATCCCATATGCCTGTAATTTCACCAGTACCCTTACCCTTCAAAACCGGAACACAGTAATGCTGACATTGCTGCTTGGCGGCAGAAATAGGTAACGTGTCAGGACCACCCTGGACGAACTCTTTCACAAGGAGCTCTACTATTGCTACTAAGTGGTAAGCTAGGGCATGGCTCCGGTTTCTCGCACTTTCCGATAACGGATTTCAATAAATGTTAGGAAAGGGATGTAATTCCACGAAATTTTCAGGTCTCTTTTTTTTATAAAAAAGTTATAGTTATAACATTCGTATTTTGATTCCTCCCGCTAAGCTTTATCATTTGAAAGGGTCTCTTCTAAACATTTCGTATATCTGCAAAAGCTATAAAACCCGCGTAAAGGGTGCAATAGGTATGAAATTGGAATTCATTATCAGTGCGACACACCGCAACTGTGTCGCATGGCCATTACTTGCCTCGCCGCTTCAGCGGATAAAAGACATGGGCGCGGAATAAATGAGATCCATTTAGGCTTCTCGTGTTAAAACGCACTTAACTGTAGAGCGGGTACTTAAATAAAACGTAGATATCATTGTAATCTGTTTTACTAGTGTGCTAGAGCTTAGGGGACCATTCGTTCTTAAGTGGATAACTGTAAGGGCGCATTTATTCGATACGAATTTCATCGCGCTGACCCCGGTCGGACGCCACGGGGTGAGCGCGGTCGCCGAGCGGAGTCCACGGGGGCCGCCACGCGGTCGAAGAGCGGAATCTGCGTTGCTGCCGCGCAGCGACCGCGTGCGTCTACCTGTCATGGCAAAATACGCTCTAATTGTTCAGCTTTTACGTTTTTAAATGGGCGTCCCGGTCACGCGGGCGAGGCTGGCTTGAATTTGGTTTACGCGGCGGCTCCCCGCGGTCGCCGAGCGGAGTCCGCCGCGGTCCGCGCGTGGCCGCGCGGTTGTATCACTTAGAAGAATTTAAATGTTGTTGCCTAGTAAATAGAATTCAGATTCGCCATTAATATACATGAAGGCGTGGTAACCCGACAGTCGTCGCGCGCGGTGGCCATGCAAAAACTTTCGCCCCGCGTAAATGGGCGCTCGGCGTCATCGGAAATAATGTAATAGGTACCTAATAGCCTAGATTACAAAATCTGAGGGTAATAGGCTCTAAAAACTTTATAGGTACCTACACTGATACAAACGATAACTAAAGTTTTTCGTTTAAACTCGTAAGCACATAAGTAAATTACTTAAGCCAAAAGCTTTCCATCGTTGTGGTGGGATTTCAAACACACAATGTCACCAGGCAACTTAAGACACTCGTATGTAATATAAAAAAAATATGTTCGTTTGTCTCGTTTCCGCTACATTAGTTATTCATCCAACTCGTATAAAACTTTCATGTGTTGTTGTGCATACGCTGCGAAAATTTCGGAAGTATACAGAGCCATTTTAAAATATCAGGTGGCGAGGTGGTAACTAAGTATTTGAGTTTCTGTTGTTTCAACAATACAACATGTTAAGGTTGTAGCTGATTGAAAATTGTATCGCAACGTAACATTCACGGCGAGCTTCACACGCGAGCGGCTCGACTCATTGCACTGACTATACGTAATATCATTGATACGAATGCTTAAATCTTAACGAACGTGTTAAGTTACGCAGAAAGGAATGGGTCAGCTGTCACATTAAAAGCCCAAAATGCGAATGTTTTACAAAAACCCAAGAAGTTTTTCTTTCAGTGAGATTGCAACGCATACTGGTTCAGCTAGTTTGAAACAAAACACAAGTTTTCTAAGATTTGCGTAACTATATAATATAATTAACAATATATTAAATTACTTAAACAGACGAGGTCAAAATAGTAGGATGTCTCATCGTAAATATGGCAATATTTTTGTCATTACACTGTCGTGTCAGCTGTTTATCTAATTGTCAATGTCAAACAAATAAACCGGAACAAAAACTAATAAATTCAAATTATTTTGGCTTCTACACACTTCAGTGTAACTAATTATTAATTAATAGGTGTAAACCGAAGTATAGATAAGTTAACTGCATTATAAAATACATAACAACTGCAATGGCGGCCATCCTCGGCGGCGGATTGGGCGGCCTGTCTACCGGCTATTATTTACTGAAAAATAACGTTTTGAGTAACAATAATTTGAAACTACTCCTGTTAGAAGCTACTAACAATTGCGGTGGATGGATTAAAACTATTAAAACGAAGGACTACATTTTTGAACAGGGACCGCGAACGATACGTCCAAAAGGCCTTTCTGGCTTGAACACTCTGAACATGCTTCAGGATTTAGGCCTAAGCGAGCATGTAGCACCGATAAAACCTGATCACCCTGCCGCTAAGAACAGGCTTATCTATGTTAACAACACCTTACATATCTTGCCATCTAGTTTAAAAAGTGTTTTTAAAAAAAATGAACCTTTTTCTAAACCTCTTATTTACGCGTTATTTAACGACATAAGGCAACCGCCTTCGGAACTTGAGGATGATTCTATTTACAATTTTGTTGAAAGGCGTTTTGGCAAAGAGGTGGCAGACTATGGCATTGCCCCTATGATCTGTGGTATCTGTGCCGGTGATGCTAGAGAGATATCTGTAAAGTTCCTCATGAAAACTCTTTTTGAATGGGAGCAGAATCACGGAGGAGTAATGAAAGGGCTGATGAAATCGATTTTCAAGTCCAAGACTGATAATAACTTGGTACTCAGTGATTTAGCTAAAAGGGCACAGGAAGAAAAATGGAATGTGTACACTATAAAAGGAGGTCTAGAGACTTTCCCAACTACTCTATATGAATATCTGGAAGACAATGAAGTTGCTATGAAGTTGAATCACAGAATATCAGAAATAGAGTTTGTTGATTCAGGATCAGTTAAATTAAAAAGAAATGATGGAGACACATTTACTGTTAATCATGTGTATGCATCTCTACCTGCCTTTGTGCTGAGTGATTTAGTTAAAAAACAGCACCCAGAGTTAGCAACAACTTTAAAAGAAATTCCTTTTGTCACAGTTGGGATTGTGAATTTATTTTTTAGGACAAACAAATCCCTTATAACACCTGCATTTGGATTTTTAGTTCCTCCAATTGAGAACTCTTCAATACTTGGAGTTGTTTTTGACTCCTGCTGCATTCCTGACCAGAGTGGTACAGTTCTTACAGTAATGCTTGGTGGCAGATGGTTCAAAGAGAAGTTTGGGGAGAATGTCACTGAGAAGGTACTACTTGACATAGCATTGAAGGAAATAAAATCAATTCTGAATATAGAAGAAGAACCCACGGCTACTAATGTCAAAATATTAGATAAGTGCATTCCACAATATGTTATAGGGCATTATGAAAGGGTGGAAAAAGTAAGGAAGTATATTCAGGAGAATAATTTGCCTATTTCACTAGTAGGTAGCAGCTATGATGGAGTGGGTATTAATGATGTGATTTTGTCAGCTAAAACTCAAGTAGAGGAGGATTTACCATATTTCAAAAAGCAGTCAGTTGTTGGGGTAAAGCCTACAGAAGAGACGCCAATTGCACCATAATGTGTGTGCAACTTTGAATAGAACCAAAACTACATATTTTTGTCTACCAAAAGTAATTTAATATTTTTTTACAAATTAACTTATTGTGTATGTTGTAAATAAGACATGGAATTATGATTATTTTTCAGGATTTTTGATATTCATTGAATGAATGTGAAAGGTTATTTGCTGTGTTAGTATATTCAGAAATTAATAAAACCATTGTTAAAATTTAATTTTTATTTACTGTAGATTAATATTATATTACATTAACTACAGTGGGAATAAAATAAATGGTGATGTGCAATAATATTACTCAATAATATTAAACACATTTATTAAATTTAATTAATTCATTGTAAAAATAGCGCTGACTTCTTTAAATAGGTAGGCAGTAAATATGACAATATATTAACGCATTCACTGTCAGCAGTTTTTCAAACTTTCGTCTTGATACTTTAACACAAATATGAGTTCAAAGTAATTTGACATTGATTCAATCTTTATTGCACCAATTAGGGATTCCAGATTTTTTATTTATTAGTTCTTAATAAATATGTAATTAATGTTTTTTTTTTATTTAAGTGTCTTATTCACAAAAGAAATAATATTTCCTATGGAAAAACTCACATAAAATCTACAAATTGACCCACAGAATAAATATTGCAACCAACAAAACAGAGTTTTTGCTATAATAAATTTACAACCTCTTAATTTACATTTGAGTTTTGGTCTTACTATATTTTTAGTTATGCATTTGTTAACCTTGCCCAATCATATGGATGAAAATGTAAGTAAGTTGTATGTGAATTCATAAAATATGCATTGACGGCACTGGGAGTTTTCGAAATTTATGGATTCACAGTAGTGTCCAAGCCCCACTGGATGAGAGTCAGGTGATCGCATATACGCGTTGTCGGCTGTGAATGCGTTAAGTCTAGGATTAGAAAAGCATAACAGATTGTATACCATTGGGAACACAAAAGTACTAGTGAGAATATTTCCTTAATCAAATTATTTATATTTCTTATAACTAAAGCTATAAAAATAAATAAAGTTTATAAAACTAAAATATCTCTCAAATTGATCTCTCCCAGAAAATAATGTGTTCAACAAATATGGTTTGCAGCCACTTTGTTCTTTTATGTCATTTGCATATTTCTAAGTATGATAATATTATAATGGAAATTTTATTTCCTCTGATAATGAGAGCTGCTTACAAATGGTGCTAATCATATTTTTGGGATATACAATGTCTCCATGACGCTGTGTTAATTGCTTACTCAATCTATTATCATCACAACACAAAATGTATGAATATTAAAAAAGTTATGCTATTTCTGATTTGACCATTACTATGGGCCCTTTTGTGGCTCTCAGTACTATGGGCCCCTTAACTTTTTAACATTCTATATTATTATGAAGACAGTATGATAAATAAAAATAGTACAGCTAGTGCTTTTCAGTCCCAAGACATTATGATTGGTATTATAATGTAATGTGCCATACAACTACACCAACTATCTGGTCTCAAACTAGGGAATTCCCTGTACTATAAGTAAATTCACTCTGGGGCTGTACCCAGAACACACAGACCGGAACTAATTTAGAAAAGTTCATTTCCCAAATTGGTCTTACCGGGAATCAAACCCGGGACCAACCACGTCCAAACACTTACAATGCAAACCATTAGGCAACTGAGGACGCTATACATATTATTTAACTACTTACTTTTAATTATGAAGGTAAATTTAGTACATAATATTAATTAATTTCAAAACACAGAAGCAATGCAAGGAACAATTTAGGAAACTAAATTAGTCTTAACATTGGTTTGCAAAATATTAATTATATTTTGCAATTATTTATCTTATAGAATTTTATAATACAATACTTTTACAGTATTAAAGCGTAATTTAGGAGAAATCCTATAGGATTTCTCCTAAATTACGCTTTATTGAATGTTACATAACTATAGTTATGTAACATTCATAATAATACATATAGACCTTAATTTCTAAATCATATTTAAGCTTTTTTATAAATAACTATAAGCGTTAACAGTACCAAGATCTAAAAGTATAGTAGTGTAGAGCGTATGATCGCGGTGCTGAGTTGCCGCGCCGGAAGGCGGCACAGTATTGCGATACGAGTATTGGAGGGTTAGAGCTGCGTTCGCGGGTGTACCCGTAGCTACAGAAGCGTCAGTTGTAAGTTCGAGTCTTAGAGCCAGTTTGTTCGATTTGCGCCAGAGGATTATGCTGTGAATTAAAGAAAATGTGTTGTGAGACTTATTAAAACATTATGTTTAGTAAAAGAGGCTAACATAAGGGTCCATTTATCTACTGAGGGTACAAGAAAAAAAAACTATTAATATTATTAGCACCTATGCATCAGATACAATGAATTATATTCGTAACACAAATCTAAAAATCCTTTTGTACTTGAAATATGGGATAACACTTCATAGGGAATAGAAATTTAGGTTGTGTTAACTTTAAGGGTCAAGTCGCACTGAAAGACCAGCGGCCGAAGGAGCATTTTTTATGCCAAGTATTACCTAGCATTTTGAATATTATCTTCTGAAGAAAAAAGTTCAAATTTATTTGAAGTGATAGACTGTATAGGGCGGCACCGCGAGCAGCCACGAGGACGTGTGAGACTTGAAAGGACTAGTTCCATTAGAAATAAAATATAACAAAAGAAATGCTTTAAAAAGAAATGATTTAAAAAAATTAAAAAAAGAAAATAAATAAATAATTTGCAAAAGAAATTATTTAAACTTCATTTCACGAATGTTCAATTATAATTCATTTACAATCATGAAATTTGGTGAAAACACAAAAAAGTCAAATGTCATCACAAAAAGATATGAAATCGAAGGTTTCTAAACGGTTTACTTTTTCATTGGTTAGTTTGCAATAAATTGTATAGACGGCATTTCTTTGAATTTATTCTCCAATCTACGTTTTAGCACTGCCTATCCAGCTTTATTGCTATTTTATTATAATGATATTGTATATAATAAACAGGCCCCGAACAAGAGCAATAACTTTGATAAAAATTTTATAGCTGCCATCTTTTGGCCTTTTCGAAAATTATTACGACCGCATCAAGGGTTTACTTGGTACCATCTATTGATCAGCATTTAGAATTAAAATAAGCGTCCGAATAAACGAAGTTACGAGTGCGACATTCCCTTTTAAGAGATTGGGTATTTGCATTAGTATAGTATTTATAATATTATCTGGGTTCTTACGAACCAATTGAGATAACTGGACTTGAATTCTCGTATTGTTTTTTTATGATATTAAGTGACGGACGAACAAGTAGTGCGCCTTATGGTAAGCAGCACACCAATCCGTAACAGTTGCAGTGCCGCGCGGAGCTTAAATATCTGAGGGGCACTGTACCTATCACCCTGAGACATAAGTTGACAAGTCCCACATGCTTGTAATTTACAATAGAATTCATGTATTATAACGCCACAACACAAAAATATACAGAAAGAAATTAAAAAAGACAAAGCAAAAGTAAAACAAAAAATATAATTAAAAAAACAACGAAACAATTTTAAACAGTAACTGAGTTTTAACAAATGTCATGTGCGTGACTGTGGCGTATGTAAAAGGATCCACTCCGCTAATGCCACAACCGAGTAAAGGCTGTGGCATTAGCTGAGTTTGTTCTGTCTGTGTTCAGAGGACCCTAAAACCGAGTGAGTACCGGACGCGTGTGCATCCCTTGTAAAATAAAATAAATTACGTAAATATTTCTATAATGTAGTATGTTGTGTGATTGTGGTGAGTGCTCAATATTTCACCAGCACCCTTACCCTTCAGAAATAACACAAAAGGTAAGGTGGCAGTACTTTCCTGTACAAACCTTTCACAAGGAGCTCTATTCCTACTTAAAAATAAGACTCACTCGTTAGTGTCATGCTGGGCGTCGTCGTCATACTCCGCGGCGTCGTCGCGCTGCGCCACGGTCAACGTCACGGACGGGACAGTCACGCGGCTACACGCTGACAGATTTGGAACTCGCTCGATCGCTTTATAAGAAGACGCGTCCTGCAAATAACCTCCTTTTCAAGAATAATAGTCCAAACCAATATAGTTCTATTGTCATTTTATTGCAATTTGTCCAGCTAAGCTGTTATATTAGAGTATTTATTCCTCTATCGCGATTATTTAAATCATAGTTTCCTAGACTTTTGGCCCACCGCACCACCCACTAAGTCAAAATAAAAAAAAATTCAACAACCACCATCACAAAAAATCAAAAGTATATATATTTACAACAAATAATATATATATTTACAAATAAATGCAATATGGGTATTCTTGTCGAGGTATTTGGGGATGCTCAATACAAATATGACACTTATTTCTAAATCCAAGATGGCAGACACGACAGTTCAAATAAAAGCAATATGAGTATTTGTAATGAGCACCCCTAAATACCTCGAAAACGATACCCAACTTGCCATTATTCGAAAAATCGTGCCCGCCATCTTGGATTTACAAATAAGTGCCATATTCGTAATAAGCACCCCCAAATACCTCGAAAACGATATCCAACTTGCCATTATTCGAAAAATCGTGCCCGCCATCTTGGATTTACAAATAAATGCTATATTCGTAATGAGCAACCCAAATACCTCGAAAACGATACCCAACTTGCCATTATTCGAAAAATCGTGCCCGCCATCTTAGATTTAGAAATGAGTGCCATAATCGTATTGAGCATCCCCAAATACCTCGAAAAGGATACCCATATTGCATTTTTTGAAAAATCGTGTCCGCCATCTTGGATTTACAAATAAGTGCTATATTCGTAATGACCACATACCTCGAAAATGATACCCAACTTGCCATGAGTCAAAAAATCGTGCCCGCCATCTTGCATTTAGAAATGCGAAAAGTCGTGCCCGTCATCATGTATACAGATATAAATGCCATTTCCATAAGGAGTAACAAAAATAAATTTTTGAATATTTTTGGCAACCATCCAATCCAAATTTACAAATTAATGCCACATTCTCGAAAATGTCTATAACTCTCGTTGTCGATCGGCAATGACGAGCATATCTGTAGGCACCTAATCGACATTGTCGATCGACAATGTTGATCGTATCTGTAGGCACCTTATGAACATCTTGAGCTGTTCACGGTGCAAGTTGACCTTGAGCACTGACGGTCCGCCCGCTCGTGTATCACTTAGCGTGTCTGGACTAGGTTTCTATGCGTTATTATTCTAATTCTTGAGGTGAAAACTTTACTTTTCACTTCAGTTACGAGAAAAAAAAATTCAATAGTTTTCTCTCACGACAAAATGACGAACCAAAATTTCGAAGTTTTCGCGGTATTTTTTTCCAAACAGACACAGATACAACAAACGCACTAACGCGGGAAAATAATATGGCGCCACCGTCTATGCGGAAAAGGCACGCAACTAAAACCGAGCATAGTACTGGCTGTTTGAGTTTGTTCACTCGAAGTAAATTGAAAAATTAATTTACTTTATTTATTATTTTTTTTTTTTACTTTAAAGTATTTTTTACTCCCTAGGGACTAAGAATGCACTTTACTTCCGATACGTAAGGCTACAGTGACGTACTTTTAGAGCATGATAGCGAAAAACATTTTGGTTATTATAATTACCTTCTCCAAATTCAAAGATTTCTCAAGTGATTTTTCAATACTCTTTGGTTCTTCTCGTTCTTCGACTTCGGGCACGTCTTCGGGCTGCAAGAGCCTCACTTGCATCTCATGCACTGTCGGATTAGTCAGTTTCAGAAGCAGTGCAGATTTCTCACCAGCCTTGATAGTTTCATACGATATTATCTTTACTTCAGGTACATGGTAGCTGTAATGTTGTAATGTTGGGATATCAATTTAGAGTCGATTTATTTATTATCTTGTAAACTTTACATCATTACATTGCAGTATAATGTATAATACATTAGATGATATTACTAGAATCGTTACAGATTATAATAGTAATAAAATGAAAAAACATGAAAAAAAAAAATCGTATACTTAATTAATAAAAATTGCCACACAAATTCAGTAGTGAACACTAGTTCCAAATAGGTAAATTTTATATTGATATTAAAAATACGGCACACGACTTGTTCGTCACCTAATATTATTAAAAAAAAGGTATTTTGGTACTTACTATGCTAGCAATTCGATTTTAAACTTGATAGACCCAGGGTTGTATTCCGGCTTGGTGAGGTTATGGTCGCAGACGCGGCATCGTTGGCTACGCTTCACGCTCAGGAGTTTCGCGAGGGGGTGTAAACGGCTTACAGAGACTGGTTGCCACTCTGGTGATGCCAGTCTTTGTGGCATGCTGGTTACTGTAGAAATAGGAAATAATGTATTGCTGGATGTATAAGAGCTTTTATAAAAGGCTGCGTGTAAAGAGCATATTTAGGGCAACCTACGGGATGATTGCCAAGTGGACCTTTTGAGATATCGCTGGAAGGATGGAGTCGCCAAAGACATAAAGGAGCTGAATGTGCCTGAGTGGCCGAAAGGCCGAAAGTAATGGCGTACTTGGTGACCAAGATTCACTTCGGATCGCAAAGCAAGCATGAAAGTAGTCATTGTCAATGCTCTACCAACCTTATTGATTAGACGGGCTTATGTTTTTAGGTACTCAAGTAATGTTTATACATACGTTAAATATAATATACACGTTTGATACGCATTAAATGCCTACAATACAATTATTTTTGACGATATCGGTGGTTCAACGTTGCATCGTGGGCGCTGAATGAGGAACTCTCTCGGCTTCAATATATGGTAGGATCAATTTAGGTCGGTTTTATCTTGACGTTTTGGGTAGTTCCCCGGAGTTAATCCCGTTGCTCTGGTACTAATAGAACAGGGAATTTCTTAATTTAACACCAGGTAATTAGTGTAATAGTCTGACACATTATCATTATTATTATCATTAACTCACTCTGCTTTAAATTGACGTCTTTACTAAAGATATCCTCTGGCAGTTCTTCAAGCAAAGCCGTAGCCTGACTGGCGGTGAAATTAGCTATGGCTGTAGAGGATCCCCCATCACTTGAAGGGAGGCCCGCAATATTGCGCGCCATTGCGCCTGTTAGACCCGTTTTGTCCTAAAAAAAATTATTTACGTTTGTGTTTTAAAAGTGCCAGGAGAATAATAGGTTTACCAAAGATTTGTTGCTTCAAGACAAGACTGTTGGGGCCAAAGTTCTTTGTCCAAAACTGGATAAAACATATATCGTTAATGAATTCTATGATTGGACAAGAGCAATACAATGAATTTATAGTTTTAAGAGTTTTTAGAGGTTTTAAGAAGTTTTAAGAGTTTTTAGAGGTTTTAAGAAGTTTTAAGAGTCTATACAATCTGAAATGGCTTTGGTTGATTCCGCAAAAGAGTGAAAGTGTTGAATCAATCGCTTTGGAAAAAATATACAGTAAAATTGAGGATATACACTGGTTTCTATACTGTGTGATTCCTAATGATTTACAAGTTACAAAAAAACAAAAACTTACCTCAAAATTTTGCAAGAACACCATTGTATTCAATAGGTACGAGTACTTTACATATACCAATTTTTTTTATATAAAAAAATATATTGGTATATGTATGACTGAACTATACATGTAGAACATGTATAATATGCAATACATTATTCAAATAACTTTAATTTCGTATGTAAAAAAATAAATTGTGAAATAAGTAAAGCCTGTGTTCCTGCCACTTGTATTAGTATGGGAAAAAATTTGAATTCGAGCTTCCTATAAAAAAGTATGTGTATAACAAAAGTATTGCTTGTAAGATGTATAGTGGAGAGCTATGGCCCATACCCTCGCGTGATAGGAGAGCTGCGCCCAGACCAGGGACAAATAAATAGGTTGTTGATGATGATTACTCATGTGTTTATGCTCACAGTAAGAGTGATATATTTTCCTCGGATAGCAAACTTCTTCCTTTCCCTTTCGAGTTTTTCCTGCTTCTCTTGCAAGGCAATAGCTTTGTAGTAGTCGAGGAGCTGATTTACACGCGTCGATGACGGGTTTGATCGCTCAGGCCACCCTCCTGATGCTATTTAGACAATAGGAAAAGAACTATATTTTAAAAATAAATGTGTCATATAACTATTTATTGTATAAACTAATGGTCAAAAACGCGTGAAATAAAATAAAATAAATAAAAAAAAAAATCAATGAAATAAAATAAAAACACACAAACCATAATATAAGTGAAAATTAGACAATAAAACGGTAATGTGGACAAAAAAGATGAAGACTCAGCTTTGCTATATTCAGTCTTCATCTATGGCTATTCGCTTGCTGCACCAGATTCCCAGAGAAATGTATATTAAACACCAAATTAGACAGAATCCATCTGTGTTGCACTTTATGCAAAAGGTATAAAAATTCAAAACTTCTAATTAAAATATTCTAAATTTACTTATTTCATGTTGTTAAGGGACCAATTGATACTTGATTTATGCAGACAGGAATTGAACAACTTGAGATATTGGAGGCTCAGTGATAATGAGCACTTTGGGCATAACTTGACAGGTCCTAGGTTTAAGTCATGGTCTGCTGGTTGGCCAATTAAATATTGTTTTACTTACCAACAGGCTGGTCTGGGATGCCAACATCCCTGGATGTCCATCTGCAGTTGAAACAAGACAGATAGTACATCTTCTTTGGCTGTTTGTTCTCTACCTTTGCGTCACCACCTGTGTTAGAAACAAAGAATTCATTATTACATATTAAATAAACTTTAATTGTCCGATAATTTAGTATTCAATGTATATTTTCTATTCTGTGTACTCCTTATTAAACGAGCTTGGTGATACTGTACTGCTAGTTGTTGCACGAAACAATTTCTTTTTTTTGTTATTGTATTTATTTATGTATAAAAAACTTGCATGATATTTTATGTGAAGTTAAGTGTTTTTATGGCTAGAGTTTAGGACCTAAATATTCCTTGTTACATCAGTAGTCAATAAGTTTTGCTTACTTTGTAACATTTTCTAACAACAAAAGATTTTGTTTATATTCAACAATCTTGCCAATACTACCTGCAGCTACATCCTGTATTGGTTGTCTGGGCTGAGCGAGAGTGGCACGTGTAGAAAGTGTGTGGAAACAACTAGGGCAGTCAAAACAGCTGCTACAGCGGTTCTTTTTAAGTCTTGCCTCTGACGATGGCATGTTCTCTAAACAATTTGCACAGTAGTGTGAGTCCACCTAGAATAGATTGTAAATTTGCATTTATTTAAAAGATAATAAGGTTTACAGTGCAATCTTTTAAAAGTTGGAAGTATCTCACTGCTGGTCAAATAATACTCTTCATCTTCTGCATGTTAATGGCTTAATGTTGCAACTTTTAAGCATTCTGTAGTATTTACATTGTCACACACTGTCCGGCACTTAGTGTTTACAAAAGCAAAAACAAAAATAAAAAATGGTTGACAGAGTTAGTAAAATTAAGCGACAATGATAACATCACAAGAAACTTTGATGAGGGTAGTTGTTGACAGCAGAAAAGGGTAGAAAGACTTGACTGTCCTTAGAGCGGTTGTGATCAATGTTTGTAAAAATTGCTTTTAAACATCAGTAGAAGAATACATTATGTAGTGTGAAAGCTGTAAATAATAATAATTATTTATGAAGTATAATTATTTATATTTCCCATAATACTTATAATTGAGAAGCATCGGAACAAAAACCGATAAGCCACATTTCTTCTTTTTTTAAGCCAAACAGTAGTTTTTGTACAGTTCTTTGAATAATTTATCCCATAAAAATAAGTTTTCATAATGTCCATTGAATTGTACAAATTATAGTAAATATAAACAACCTATACACATTCTATGCAAGAATACATACAAAACTAATAGCACAAGTGTACAGAATCTAGTTAACCTATTTATCTCGCCCTAAATGGTCTCATGTTGAATAGGCAGTTTGTAAACCTTCCATTGTAATGAAAGAATAGCATAATCAAGTAACAATACGGTTGTATGCCTTAGGAGTGTCATGAATTTTTTGTAGAAATATATACAAAAATATATATATTTATGAAAATTCTTCAAGAAGTACCACTGTTAAGTAAAAGTAATTTAAAAAACATGAAACCAGTACGTTATTGAGTTTTTAATGTGCAAAAATGGTTTAAATCGAGTTACCTCATGGCATATACAAAATCCGCATCGTATTTTCAAACAATGGCGGCAGAAATAAAGGCTGGTGATCGGCTTCAGCTGTCCACACGAGCACACATACTTTACATAGTCCGGTTGGGTTAAATAAGCCATGTTCTTTGTGAATTTCTTTCATAAAATCGAGAAAAAGAAAAACACTGCAAAATCCACAGCCCACAGACTAGAGCCGTCAAATTGACAGCTAAGTGACGTCACAGGCGACGCGTGTGCTCAAATGATTGATTTATGGTTTCAAAAACGTCAAAACCTTGAAATTAGAATATTTCCACTTTTTACATTTGTAATATTTTTGAACTTTAGTTGATTATAGTGATCAAAGCATCTCTAACAACTTCAACTTTTATATCTATGGCTCCGTCGTTTTGCGCGACGATTTCGCCAATGTCAGGGTTGAAAGACATGTAGTGCGGTGGTGAGATAGATTGCCGGTTATTAAAATACTTATGCGGTTATTATGCATAAAAGCGTCTCTAAAAATAATTGAAAGATATATATATATATATATATATATATATATATATATATATATATATAAGATATAATAATAGAAGTGAAAATATGATTGGTGACCACGGTGACATATTGGTAGAAAGAAGTTTCAGAACGCACATATTAGACGTGTGTGTTGTCATTTATGTGGTTTCTACTAAATAGTAGGTACAGTCAACTTGATTATTATGTCATATTTTGCTTGTATGATGACGACACACTGCCGCTGGAGAAACCATGTAGCACAGAAAAACTAAATGATTCATTTATATTCGTAAAGCTTGCACTGTCCTAATAGAACATAAACCGATAAACATGCCTTTTCCATATTTATGTTTGTGCCTGCGAGTGATAAGGTAACTTGGTCATATAGATAGATACACTTTTCATATCTAGGCCTTTTGAGTGACATACGTTTACGAGCAAAGCAAAAATAATTATCATGTTTATAGATGTCATTCATACCGAATTATTTAGTTTCCCTGCTCACCTACAGAGTTCTAAAATTCCGAACGTCATATAACCCAGATCTGTCGGAATCAAATTAATGACAGCATTCCCCACACGTTTGGCCGCCACAGGAATATTAACCAGATCTTTTAAGGCATGCCAGCAGGAACCTACGTGCGTGCACTATTGCTTTCTAATGGCGTAATGCGTTGCGAAAGGGATCGCACTTATGTCATATCTATTAATTGCCTGAATGTTGATTTTCTAGCTCGATTATTATTTTAATTGTGGTAATTAAAACCTAATGAGAGCGCCAATCATTGTTTGAAGCGGGCTGCATTTTTGGTCAAAATCCGTTAATGTGAAGTCAGCAGCATACCAGGTAATATTTTCAGCTCAACATTTTGCGTCTTGTTTAATTATACTCTTGATTGTATTGATTAATACAAAAAAAAGTATGTGCAGTCATAACTCATATTACGAGTTTCCGTAACACTGAATAATTTTAGCAAGAAATTAAAAAAATGTTTTCAGAAAAATGTATCGACCTCCCTATATTTGATGTTTTTTGTGCAATAGCCTATAATATTTTTTTTAAATATTGCTTATAGTGACGATATATCTATGGTGTAGAATAGTTTAAATTTCATAACTCCAAGTAGGACTATACCTACTTTTATGTTACACCACCATGCAGCAGACAAGTTCACATTCACTACACAAAAGAATACCGTATGATATTGTTCAAACGGCAAAATTTGCATTTGGAGATGATGCTTAAGTACAGCCAACTTGAAAAAACTAAAGTTAGTCTATTATCATGTTGCTTTATCGCGTCTCCAGGCATCCGAAGCAGAACTTAATAGGTGTGACAGTTTTCGTTAAATTAGTTATCTAACTCATTATAGTTTTTGTGTTATAGTCATAAATCAGGTTATTGAATTCCTCCATAGAAAAAAGCTTGAAATACTTTATAATGAGTTAGATAACACATATTACAACAATTCACACACTTATTTACTTTTGTCTCGGATCCCTCAATGTACCCTTTACTTATTTTGCTTCTGTGTAAGCATGCCAATGGACAATGATGTGGCGAATAATTACCAATGGCTATTAATTGCACAGTATCAAAGTGCATATTAAGACTTAAATCATGGATCTTGGTAAACCAGTTAGAGAATGCTGCAACAGAACCTGACCAGTGCAGTGCCTATTGAAAGCCAAGTTATGACACAAGTATTGGACTCGGAAAGCGATAAAATCCGAATACAGGTCAGATGTTTTATATACGCGCTAAAGAAAACGTGTTATTGTAATCAGTTAAAGTATGCTTCAATATATTTGTCGTGGTGAGAAGGTATGTTTTGCAAATAGGAATAAATTAGATTGAGTTTTCCTTTCGGCTGTACTTTCTAGCGTAGACCTTACACATGTGCGCGCATAAAGAAGAAGAATATATATCATCTTTGACAATCAAGCGCGACATTCAATGGTGGCACTTCACATGGCTATTTATAGTTGATATATGTATGTATTTGGCAAACAGTCAATTGCAAAGTATTTGCCTTCTTTGCCTATACGACAAACACAACAAACAGCAAAGTCGCGTTAGCGTTCGCTGGTCGTTTTCTCGACGCTAATCCAAGGAGTCAAATAGGCAAATATGCAAGTAAATCTTCCACACTATGGCCATTATTCATTATTTTAACTGCTTATTTGGCTCCATGTGTAGACGGTCATATTTGTCAGTGTTTGCATGTTTATCTGTAGGTACGTCAAATATTTTTCCAAGTACATTAAACATTAAGATTTAAATTTAACTTTATGTCGCTTGGCATAAGAATGGACTAATGCTAATGTTCATAGCGTCTACCTATCCATATCTTCCACAAATTGTCAAAGATGAGATGAGATTGTTAGACTTTTCTCTGTTGTTTGCACTGTGGGCTCTGGGTGCGGAGGTTTCAATTCCCGATAGTACCAATTTTGAGACCAGGCATTTAGCGTGGTGTATAAAAAAAAACTTCATGATCTAGTTGAATCGATTTCTAAAACTGAAGGTTTAGATGGGATCTCCTTAATATACTCTATATACATGTCAAAAGGACAGTCATGTCTCGGAAACCGGTTAAATTTCTTTACCGGTTTGTGGATAACGCGACATCGAATGAAATAGTTACAAGTTTCGCTCGCTGCGAACAATATAAACCAGTTTATTTGAATTTCTCTTGTTGCGAAGCTGACGGACTTGACGGACCTGACGACCTAGCATACCTTAAAGGACTTATAAAACCAGACAGATACAGACTTGACATTTTTTGGCAGAAACCACACCCCATTGAAATGCTTGTTTGCCCGCAAAATCCTGATTCAATGCATAGCGAAGGCATGCATAGCGAGGAGTCCTGGATCAATGCATAGCGAAATGTGGGCAGTTCGCAGTAGGCTTGTCATATTTTTATTACTTAGTTAATTCTTACTACAAATATTGTATACTAACATATTGAGGATGTTGTTGAAGCTGCCACGATTTTGCAGTGCATCGGGGATGTTCGCCATAGGTAAGGTCGATGACTTTGCAGTTGTCATGCCAAAAAGAGCGGCTTCCCTGGTGCATACAATTCGTGGCAGCGACAATAGCCTCCTGAGTATAATTGCAAACAGGGTCCATAGGGTTCTTTTCATGAGCACTCGTCCCGGTTGCATATTAGTTTTAGAAAAAAATGTTATTTATAGTACTAACTCTATTTATAAGTGCTTTGTTACTAACCCCTATGGATGAATATTCTGAAATAAAGATATTTGAATTTGAATTAATATGGAAGGGCGGGGCCGATGTGGAGCTGTCGGTGGTAGTCGGCAGTGCGATGAAATCTATAAAATCACGGATCGCGTGACGCCACGGATACAGGATTGATTTCACATTTTGGTCTTGAGTTTAGGTTTCTTTTACTTTCACTGATTAAAAAAGGACTTTGAATTAATTGAATTATGGGAAATGGTTAAGTATCGATCATAACACCCCCGATTCATTTTAATTAGGTAATGAACTATCCAAAGTAATTGTGATTCATTGTCACGAAGTAATAGTAAGCCGAATAAATTACACCGCACTCGCGCTGCGTGGTCACGCAACAACGAAAATATTGTGAGATAGACCACGCAAAATCTACAGATACGCGCATCGGCCACTTTGTCTCTCTGTTTATGTGGTGAGTGTACAGCATAAGTAAGAGTTAAAATTTACAATTTATACCGGTTCGTGTAAACGGGTACCGGTAAATATTCACTCAGTTAACCGGTAGGTATTTTAATAAATAATATGTACTAAAGTAATTGATCTATCAAAGTCATACCCATTTATGTGCGGTTAATGCACTACTTTCAACATAATTTTTGTTTTTAACCAGCTTCAAATAAAGGAGGAGGTTCTAAATTCGACTGTATTTTTTTTCTTTTTTTTTGTTACGCTAACTCCGTCGTGTGAACCGATTTTAATAATTCTTCGATTTTGTTGGAAAGAGGGTACCTCAGTATTGCTGCCACTTAAATTTGAAGAAAATATTCCACCTCTAAGGGTGGCAAACTAGGGGACGAATCCGGTTTCCCGTACTTTCCAGTAGTCGATTTCAATAAAACATGGCAAATAAGAAGATGTAATTCCAGGATCTTTTAAGGTCGGTTTTTTATATGTAAGTTAGAATTCACTTTAAATGTATGTACATTATAGTAGTAAGGGAAAAATGTATTAAAAAATTATATAACACGTTTCACAGACGGACAAGTAAAATAGGTTAAGATTTCTTTGTTAAATTCTCCAGAGTTAAACTCTTACAGCATTCATTAAACGAAAAAAAATGTCGGCCACAATTTGCTTACCGAGAAGTTTGCTCATAATATATTTGCATAAGGTTAAATACTCGCAAAAGTACTCGTAGATTCAAATTACCGTAATAGTTCAACGTACCTATCGAGTATTGATTTCTTACGTACCTACATTACATAGAAGTACGAAGTTTCAAAGAACAGATGATTGCCTGTGACACCCTGACGGCAGGGTCGATAGGTTAATTGACATTTTCCGCCAAACACACTAGTTTATGTAACAATCCACACGCAGTTCACGTATTGATAGTATTGACCATTCGGCACCGATCGAGATAGCTTTTGAAGGCGCACAAAATAAAGGTCAAGCTGGTGGAAATGTTATTTACTTTTACTGACGAGCAGCCATTGTTTGTGTAAGCGTCGGCTAAGATTTCTTTCGAACTTGTATCAACAATGCCTTAGGTTGAACATAAGCATACTGACAACTGTTATGTGATAATGTCCATTCACCATCAGTTTAAAGACAGAGCGCTTTTGTGATCATCTTATACGCATGATGAATACATAATTGTTTTGGATGACCTCGGTAGTCATGTTGTTTGTAAATTACGCGTCAGGTCTGAGATTTCATATCCGGAGGACTTATGCCTACTTTTATTTCTGAGGTTATTTTTTTGTGATACCAGGTGATGACGGGACGAACAAGCCGTGCGCCTGGTGGTAAGCGACATGCCCATCCATAGCAGTTGCAGTGCCAATCACTTTTAATAGCAGTAGAACTCCTTGTGAAAGAGTTCGTCCAGAGACGTACTGCTACTTTACCTATTTCTGCCGCCAAGCAGTAATGTTAGCATTACTGCGTTTCAGTTTTGTGGGTAAGGGTACTGGCGAAATTACAGGCACGCGGGACTTGTAAACTTATGTCTCAGAGTGACGGGCTGCCACTAAGATCTTTGCGCGTTGCTTTAAATCGCAAAGATCTGAGGGGAACTGCCACCGCGTCCATTACATTAAGATCTATGTTGACAAGTCCCAAGTGCCTGTAAAACACAGTGCTCACCACATTACGGAGGCAGAAATACTGTCTTCGTTATTATAACTAACATAATCGACATTTTAAGCGAAATTGAGTTATTGACATGTCTGAGATCTGTAAAACGAGATATACAACCATCTCTAATCAGTTTTTTGATATCTTATCTAGTTTGAGTTTTATTTCTTTAGCAAAATCAGCGTAGTTAACATTTTTTTAGGTGAAAATAAAACTTTTGATGCCAACTATACTCGTATATCGAAAGTTACCGAAATTCAAATGCGTTAGTTATAACTAGAGATGCGCCGAGTACAAGTTTTACCGAGTAACCGAGTACCGAATATTACTCGGTTTAACATTTGCCGAGCCGAGTACTCGGCCATGGTACTCGGTTCATAACAACGTGATGATCCTAAAAGTCCCATTGCTCTAGAATTAGACCGATATGTCAATGAAAGTTTATTGTCGCGAGCGCAGAGTCCTTTCCAATGGTGGGCAGGGCATAAAATAAGATATCCAAAACTTGCACAGTTAGTTAGAGTGTTTTTATGTGCACCTGCAAGCACTGTGTATAGCGAGCGGTTATTTTCCGAAGCGGGTAATCTGTATGAAAAAAGGAACGGAACGCGCAAAAGGCCTTGTATTCCAACATCACATCTTGCCTTTGTTAAATTTTAAATATTAATAATGTAAACTATCTTTTTAAATTACTAAATTGTTAGAATCGTCTAGAATTTGTAATAATAAATCTGTTTTGATTATTTTGAATATATTGTTGATTTTACTTTATTATGTCTGTAGCTGTAATGCTTTATTATAACCGAGCAACTCTTCTCATGAACCGAGGTATTCGGCCCAGTACGAGTGGTAAAAAAACGGCCGAGTACACCGAGTACCGAGTGGCAAACGAGTACTCGGCGCATCTCTTGTTATGACAAGGAGGGTAGATTAGTTAAGGTACTTCCCTGAACGAACTGTTTCATAAGGATATACATACTGCAGTTCGTGTTGTAAGTAACGATTAGTCACTATAAGGAATTTGGCAAGAATTTGTTTGGAATACACTGTAGGTATGCATGTTTACAAGTAAATAAAATGTAAGTAGGTAATGAAACATAATTACATAAAGACAGTCCTGTTAAGTTAATGAAGCAATGACTTCGGCGATGGTTTTATTTAACAGTTACAAATGAGGTAACCATGTCACAAATCTTTTAAAGTTTTTATTATGTGTTTTGTTTTAAAGCGTAATACTTTCAGATATTTACACTGTTACCTAGTCCTAAATTTGTATTTCTTGTGCTACACCATAATTCCCAGAGAAATAAATTAAGTAAATTAAATTATACTTTAAATGAACCCACAGCAATTGAAAGCAAACTTTTGTAATTCGATTGTTACACATCGGAAATGTAACTATTGTTTTCGGACAGTAGATACGTTTGTTTTTCAAAAAAAACAAAGATTCAGATACGCGATTTAGATCCGAAAAAAAACTTTCATTTCCAATTCAGTAAGAATATTTTATACTAGGTTGGTTGCGTAGATGAGATAAAAAAGTAAAGCGTCTTATTTCTTTGATAATGGTTTATATAATTAACAGAAAATTCGTACAAATAATAAAGAACATAATCGATAAACATCATACATATTGACAAATCGGAGGCTCACACTTTACAAAGTTTCCTTGATCATTTCTTGTTTAGACTCAAGCAAAGTTCGTTTTTGTAAATACGAAGAACTAACTTAGCTCGTCATTTTTGCTTAGTCAAAGTCAAAGTTTGGTTTATAAATCTCAGCCTTAGAGTCAGTAACTAGTGCAACCTAATTACATATCTGATTGAGCAATATAATTCATCTAGGTACTTACTACTTTAGCATTATAATTTTACGAAATTCTAGATTTCCGATCATGGTTTTTGTTTGATCAATTTGTATTTTGCGTGAATTTTGCAGTAATAGTTCAATGGTTGGACGTGTGATATATTTATAAAAACAAAGGTCAAAACTTTATCCCTCATCGAGCCATTACGTCCCGTTGTTTATTTTATCATTAGCATATTTAAAGTGTTATTTATAACGTTTTGTTTATCATGACGGTAAACATTGGATGTGCACTTGTAAAAGTGCATCCCACAATGGTCTAGGACAATGGACTATGACAAGAAAAAGTAAAAGAAAGAACCTTGTGACGATAGGGATTCTTTTAAGGGATTCGGGATATTTTTCTTGGGATTCCATCTCCTACCGGCGGTTGGCTATCACAATAGCTACTAGGATCCGTGAAGTTGTGGCTCGGAACAATTCCGCGGTGCTCATACTGAACCACTCTGTAAGAAAACTACAAAGGTATCTAAAGGTATGTAGGTAGCTGTAAAGGTATCTAACTGGATAACAAAATATCATAAATTTCTCATAGATGGCGCTACGACTAAAAAGTCGTTGAAAAACCAAATACAAAAATACGACGCAAGCACTGAAAAATTCGTGAGGTCCGCTAGTTCGTTCCGTGGCTTAGTTGGTATAGCGTCCGCCACGGTATGCTAGAAGACGTCGGTTCGAATCCGGCCGGATCGAAGGAATTTTTTCTGAGTCTTTGTATTAATAATTACCACTCTGTAAAATTTTGGAGCCATGTGGTTTTTCTAAGGCTATGTCTTCTGCGTTCCTGGATTTTTCCTAGCATGATTCGGGATAGGAATTATTTTTAGCGTGAGTTTCACCAAGAGACGAAAGACTCATTTCCACACCTGGGTGGTTAATGTGTGTCAGATTGCAAATTAACCAATCTTTTAAAATTAATGTTGGCGGCCCTTTAGAGGAAGGCATAGCATTTGTAAACCTACTATTTAAGAGTAATTTATAAAAGCCATTACAATATCCGCTCGCACGGCCCGCTCTTGATTAATTTCGTTTTGATGTCGCAGAGGAAATTCGAAAAACAGGTTCGAGTTTTTGATGTTATATGAATGAAATATCTGTGTTGCTTACAGAATTTCCGGTCTTCACAAGCCAGTCAGACGCCGACAAGTCTGTGAAGGCAAACCTTAAATGCTCTCACATTTTTTAATACACTACGTAAGGAGACTGTTCCTTTTAGAAGTTTTGGCTTAAGTAGGTTATTGCGAAAAGTATTTTTTATATTGATAAAATATTACGTGCTGATTTTAATTTCACCTGTGATAATGTAGAGACATATTACATTGGTAGTTATTGAACTACAATCAGTAAAGTCACTGAAATTAAAATCAGTAAAGTCACTTTCCCTTAAAACATTTTAATAAAAGTCATAACTTGCAAGCTTCTGTCTTGCCGGGCAGTAAAAACATTACTTGTAGGTAATAATAATAATTTAACAAGTTTTGCTCATTTTGATCGCGAGTAGATATAAGTATGTGATACAGTAACATATTCAACCTACATTTCCGATTCAAAATTCAAAATAAAAAAAAATTCAACATTCAAAATAATCTTTATTTCATAGGTAAGCATTACACTTGAAATCGACAATGGTTAAACTCTACCGCTCATACGTAAGGCAGATTCCCCTGAGAAGAATGAGCAAGAAACTCTAGTGGTTGCTCTTTGTAAATAACATTTGTACACATTCAACATTTACAATATATTTTTTTTTATTTGAAACATCAGAGATCGAGACTACCTCCATGAGCTAAACGGGTTACTACCACGGATTTTTGTCATCCAAGTACGCAGAAGTTGTATAATAACCTTTAGTACAAAGTTTTTGTTTCACTATAGTATTAAAACTCGTGAAAGGCAAATTTTGTATATCAACCGGAATCTTGTTATAGCAGCGTAGGTATACATTGCCTCTTAAATGATTTTTTGACTTTGATAGTACATTATCTGCTAAGAGCAACTTATTTCTGAATTCTTTAGTGCACTGGTTACGGGGCTATTCCGCCTGCCGACTGCCGCTTAAGGTCGAGGATCACGTTTGAATCTATTGTGCAATATGACACGCGCGGCGTACAGGCGCGCATGCGCCAACATTTTCCCGCCAAACGCCACTCGCGACTCGCGAGCGCGTTCCAAAAAACAGAAAACGAAATAATTACGATTTTTAAGTGAACCTTACAGAAGTTAAAAAAAATTAAATAATGCAGAATTAATATTTTTTTGGTGACAAAGACGCTTCGAGCCACTGAGATAGTATGTGGCCGTACTAGTGTGGTCAAGTGTGGTGTGTGGTCCGGGATGAGGCCACAATGTGGCTGGCTCTGGGACTTCTGCTGTTGAGTGAATCTTTTGCTTTTAACATTAGTTTTCCGGCGGACAATGTGGTAAGTTTTGTTGTATGTTTCCTATTTTAAAAAAGGTTTAAAGTTTGTTTTTATTGATTTCTTATTTATATACCCTATTTTTTTTCTACACTGTACGAGAAATATAATATACAGGAACATAATTTATCGAGTTCCTTGGATATAGTGAGCAATTGGTACACATCGGCAATGAAACTATTTTTTCGGATCTCAGCCGGAACATCTTCAGAGCACTAAACATTGGTTTGTTTGAAAAAAACAACGCAAAATAAAACCCATAGTTTCATTTGTAAACATAATTTACTTATTCTAATCAATGCTGATTTTGTCCAATTTAGTTAATACAATTTCGATATTTTTGTGCATGCATTAAAAACGTAAATAATGTCAAAACAGTTGAGGTGCAGCTAAACAAATGAACTGATATACAAAGAACAACTTCTAGAGTTTCATTCTTCTCAGTGCAATCTATTTCAAGTGTTATTTTCTTATCTATGAAATAAAGATTATTTCACGTTGACTTTTATCAGTACTGTGTATTGTAGACGGAGCTTCTGATCTATTTGAATTTTAAGGGTCTGTTTCATATATACTTTTCCCGCACATCTGATATTGCACAGCGTGTTGGAACGAGTGTAAAACTCTAAGCTCAATTTACGTTGCCACGGAATCAATTTAGTAGCAGTAGAGAACCTTGTGAAAGATCTCGTCCAGGGAAACACTGCTGCCTTACCTATTGTAATTTATTATGATGTCAACTAACTGACCACACTGGTCTCTAATAAAGGAACCTCGACTCTTTGTACTTTTCATGTAATAATAGCAGGAAAGCTCCGTGTGAAAGAGTTCATCCAGCTGTAATGTAGCATTGCTGGGTTCCGGTTTAGAAGGGTGGGGGGGGGCTGGTGGGATTACAGGCAAATGGGCCTTGTCAACTTATCTCCAAGGGTGACGGGCGCAGTGGCAGTGCCCGTTAGATCTTTGCGATTTAAAGCTGAATGGCCCTGCAACTGTCACGGATAGGCGCTTACCACCAGGAGCACGACTTGTTCGTCCCGTGGCTTGGAATTGTAAAAAAAGTTATGGAAGCGAGCTTTATGTTAATTGTCAACAAACTAGATACGAGCCAAAAAACAGATCGCGTGTCTCGGGAATTCCCGCAGTTACAGTATCGTATCTAGTTTGTACGTTACACAATTGACACAAAATTCATTATTACACTATACACTTTCGTTACAAAAATTCACTTCCACTGCAATGTAAATTGAACCTTCGTTAAATAGACAATTCACTAATAAAGTGCCTACACTTGTAATAACAGTAGCTAACAGCTGAGTCAGAAATTTATAATGCTCAATAATGTTATTTAGTTAGAATAAAATATTCCTTAATTAATTATTACTTTTTGTAATATACAACCGATCTGTAAAGTTTGTGGAATTACATTTATATGGCAAGTTTTATTGAAATCATTAACGGGAAGTAGGTGAGGACCAATAAATTGGATTCATCTCCTAATTTGCCACAATTTCAACGGGGCCACTACTGGGGTAACCCCTTTCTAACAAAAAAGAATCATCGAAACCGGTTCACAAATGTCGTCACGAGTAATCGCGTAGCATACATACAAAAAAGAAGTGGAATTGAGAACCTCCTCCTTTATTTGAAGTTGGTTACAAACTACCGAGGAACGTATTCACTCTATACTTAATAAAATAAAGCTTTTCGCACATTGAAATTCTTATTCGCATTGAAACACAATAACTACTTCGCACACTAAAATTACATGAAGTGATTCAAAAAATGTTATTCAGGTTAAGCGTACTCTTGAAATAAACTTAAGAATGTCTCATGTTATCTTAAAAAAATTCTGTATAACCGTGTACTAAATGAAACCATTTTTGTTCGTGACTATTGTATCTGGTGGTCTACTCTTATTCTTTGTCCGATATCCGTCCCAAAACAGTTACTGTCAAATACTCGTAAGTAATAGTCGACTTACTGAAGTATAGTGTAATATTATTATCTAGTAAATACATGATTTTTTTTAAGTCTAAAAAGATTATAAAATTAATTACTGATGTGAATACCGCATTACCATGAAATAGGACGAGCTTTTGGGCCTTATAATATATATATAATAATATAATTTGGAAAATATATCATATAATTGGAAACCAACAAACCATAACCTTCGATATAAGTTTCTGGATCGAGTCTACAAACAATGTTATTGATTTGGCCTAGTTTGTATCTAATTTAACGAACGCGCTCTAAGGGCTATCTCTCTATTAACAATTAACTGTTTGATTTGATGGAGAGGTCCCGGATTCGATTTCCAGTAAGACCCAATTGGGAAATGAACTTTTCTAAATATGTTCTCGTCTGAGTGTTCTGGTAAGCATCCCAGAGTGAATTCCGTTGCTCTGGTACTCATAGTACAGGGAATTCCTTAGTTTGAGACCAGACAATTGATGTGGTTGTCAGGTACGTTAGTATTATTATTACTATAAAGTGATGATTGATTTGAATCTAGTAATCTCGTAGACTATATTAATGTTACGATATTTAACCCTTTCCGCTTCTTTACCTCCTTGAGAATTTGAATAAATATAATACAATATTTTTTATTAAAAAAACCGACTCTAAACTCGTGGAATTACATCTATTTGCCAAGTTTTGTTGAAATCGGTTACCGGAAAGTGATCGAAACCGAATTCATCCCCTAATTTCTCACTCTTTCGAGATGGAATATTTTCTTGAAATTTAAATGGACCAGTACTGAAGTACCCTATTTTCAACAAAAAGAAATAATAAAATTGTTTCACAAATTCCGGAGTTGTCGCGTAATATAAACACAAAAAATACAATCGAATTGAGAACCTCCTCCTTTTTGAAGTCGGTTAAAAATTAATGGTACGTATAATTTGAGTTAAAATATTATCTAGCGTGTTTACTTCCGTAGAGTAAGCAAACATTTCAACTTATTGAATGAACTGCGTACATATTTATTTTGGTTTTACGACAAATTATGATTAATTTAGAATTTTTTAAACTAGGAGGAGGTTCTCAATTAGACATTTATTGATATTTTTTTGTGTTACGCAATTACTCCGACTGTTGTGAACCGATTTCGATGATTCTTTTTTTTGTTCGAAAGAGAGTACCTCAGTAGTAGTCCCTTTTAAATCTGAAGAAATATTCCACCTTTAAGAGTGGCACGAGTCCGGTTTATTTTATTTCACCCACTTTTCGTTAACAATCTCTATAAAACTTGGCAAATATATATAATTCCACAAACTTTTGAGGTCGGTTTATATTTAACTTGTTTTTCATTGTTTTATTTATAATATCAAGTGACGGGACGAACAAGTCGTGCGCCTGATGGTAGGATACACGCCCGTCCATAACAGTTACAGTGCGACTCAGCTTTTTAAATCGCAAAGTTCTGAGGCGTCGTGATAAAGGAAGACTTAGGGCGCGTTCCCATTATGTCGTGACGTTTTATTTATCGTTGGGCGACTGTCGCGCTAGCCTGTTCCCGTATCACGGCTATCTACCGTGGCTGTGTCGTGAACGATTATTTTATCGTTGAACGACTGTCGTGTCTAGCTGTTCCCACTAGATTGTGACCACAATTTATCGTTTCACGGCAGCCGTCAGGTCATTTGCACGACTGACCCTGAGAAGTAAGTTGACAAGTACCATGTGCCTGTAATTTCACCAGCACCCTTAACCTTCAAAACCGGAACACGGTAATGCTGACATTGCTGCTTGGCGGCAGAAATAGATAAGGTGGCAGTACTTCCCTCGACGAACTCTTTCACAAGGAGCTACACTGCTACTAAATTATATTATATTGTGATTAAACGCTTGCCTGTTGCATATTAAAAAAAAATCTGTGGATTCCATTATTTCCGTACTTCTTTATTTATTGAATAATTTGTGCCAAAAAGATTTTTTTTTTAAACGAGTGAATAAAAATAACTAATAAAGTGTTTACCGTTTATTACGTATTTTTTAAATGGCGAGGAACCATTGACGTAAGTACTTATGGTAAAAATACTTGACGTATGAAACACGTAACGTAACAGTATGACTATGAAATACTATCACTTCGCTTGATTCATACAGGTTGTATTAGCAAAATGATACGGACAAAATAATGTCCAATTCCTTATTCGACGGGGTTAAAGTTCAAAAGTTACATAGCGTAATATCTCTCTAATCGAAAAGTTGTATCAAAAGCAATCTATATAGGCACCGCACAAAAACTATAAATGTGCATAAACCTCGTGTTCTTCGTGATTGGGTTTGTAAAATGGAGCAGTTTAGATAGTAAGGGCTGGTTTCATAACGTCTAGCTACAACTGGTGCACATTCCATAGGACGAAATTGTTACCGCAATTCGAAGACAAAGTTGTTGAAAGTTCAGAACAAATTAATTAATTAAATCGCACATTCGGTGTAATAAAGCCACATCTGAAAAATGTCGACTATTCGTAAGTGAAATTTAAATATTCTACAAACGATATTTATTTCATATGTTCACAACAACAATTTCATATATACGTAATTTGTTTAGTATATATGAAATTTTAGAACTCTCCTACGTAGTTCGTATTATTTTACGACTTTCGTGTGATAAAAATGTATAACGCCTTTGACTTTTTTTTTGAATGATCACATTGGCTATATCGTATTTGTACCAACAAAAGTTTGAAATATTTTTTAATACATATTAAAAGTTTGAATGACAACACAGTACATACAAAGGTAGTCTATTATAATTTATAATGTGCAGTCAATAGCACATCAAACTACACAATTTTGTTTGAATATCGCCTCCAGTGCAACGGATCAAGATCCGTTAATGTGTAGTTTGATGGCGTTATTTTATATAGCAATTAATTTCTGGCGCGACGTGATAAACAAAGTGATTTTCAAATAAAATAGTGGATACTAAAAAAAATTATCTAACAAACCACAATAGTTACTTGTCTATCATTTTAATTACGAAT